TACACTCATCCGCCTCTACCGCCGTGGACTTCCCCGAGTGTTGATGTTGTCGTCCACACCTTCCCTGGTCGTAAATCCACCCAACTGCTGTATATGCTCAAACTTAACTGCCTTGAGCAGATTAATGATGTCGCCTCCTCCCTTATGACCTCCCACCCTCCTATCCTCGTCTACTGTGATGGGTCTGTTACCACGCTGGGCAGCGCTGGGGCAGGTGTGTGGATTCCTGAGCGCCAGGCCCGCAGGAAAATCAGGGTCCACGACTGGGCCTCCTCCACTGATGCTGAAAGCATAGCCATCCTCGCGGGCATTCATGAGGGGGCGACCTATGCTCGTACTGAACCTCCTTATAATCAGTGACAGCACTTCTGTGCTAGCGAGGCTCAAATTACCCTCCCGTGCCGCCCAACACACCCTAGCCGCCGTCGCCGGGCTAGAACAAACTGATGACATCCGTGTCAAGTTTATTTGGATCCCGTCACATATAGGAATAACTGCCTGTGACACTGTTGATCGGCTTGCCAAAGAAGCGACACAAGAAGATATTGAAGTCACTCTCGCCCTCTCCCTGAATCATCTCAAATCTCGCATACAAGCCGTACAACGAGAAGCATTCGACGAAAATTGGACACACCTGAAACAACGGGGTAGCGTCACACTATGCCACTATGACGCTGTAACAGGTGATGACAACCGCCACTACAAAGAGTATCAATCCCTGACTCGATCTCAACAGATTATGTACATGAGACTGCGCCAGTGCGCCTAGGGTACAGGTACCTATGGGAGTACATTGGCAACCCTGAGCCTGGCCACACTGTTTGTAAACTTTGTTGCCAACCCGACTCTCACACCCTCTCTCACTACATCCTCACTTGCCCTATGACCACCTCCTACAGGTCCCCAGCCGTTACCAACACCTCTTCCCTCCCGGACCAGATATCTCTCCTCCTAGTCACAGGCCTGGCACTTGACATTATTAGGGACCTGCCACGCTTTGCCATAAACAGATGAAATGTACCGGGAACTCCCCCCACACATTCATCATTCCGTCATTTTATGTAACTTGCTGACAAAACCTACGACCCTTCAGGCTTTTACGCCCTTAATCCATGAGTCATAAAGGCAAGCATGAACTTAGCATGCTTCCCAGATGGGAGCTGTAAACGCTTCTGCGCTTCACCTTGCACAGGATGTAAGGGGGTGCCCAATTAACTAGCCCCCTCGGGGGCAATCTAAAAAAAAAAAACTTGCTACGAACCTGCCGTGCTTTCTTTGGCCTTGGTGATGCCGGTGACTTCCATTGTGACGACTGAGCTTTCGTTTCTGGGTCGTATCCATACACCCAAGACTCATCTCCTGACATGGCTCCCTGCGACTTTTGGCTGTTTTCTAAAAAGTGAGCTAAGGGCGACTTTGAGGCACAAATAAAACCAAAATAAAAACTTTTTTTCGCATAGCGCAGTCGGTATTTGGCCTGACTCTGTAAAATCAGTGTCGGTTATAGTGTATATATATATATATATATATATATATATATATATATATATATATATATATATATATATATATATATATATATATATATATATATATATATATATATATATATATATAAAACACTGACCGAAAACAAAAGATGTTACCGATTTTGTTCTGTCTATGTGGAGGTGTCTTTTTGTAAATGTAAGTTTTGTATATAATAATAATAATAATAATAATAATAATAATAATAATAATAATTAACGGTTTATTGAAAGAGCTTGGCAGCCAGAAGGCTGAAAATTTACAGTTACATATTTGGGGAATGGGTTACGAATTACAAATAATATACAAGTAACATAAGTGACACAAATAAGACATATAATAACTTAGATGGGGATCAGCTCAAACTACAGTTCATTTCAACATAGTGACAGTGTAAGGAGCAGTGTTTACCGGGAGTGAATACACTGATTTATTATATGTTATTGATAATTTTTACAATGGTTGGGACTGGGCTGTTCTTATAGCGATCAGTTCGTGCACGTATGGGCTGGATGCGGTTGTGGTGTCGAACAGCAATTCTCGGACAGGGGATGTCAGGTGGTAGTAGGAGCCGGTGTCGGGGATGGTGTAGAAGCTTCTTACCAAATTTGTAGATGAGGTCGTGGTGATGGTCAGTGAGAGTCGAAAGGGTCAGTGTGTTGAGCGCTTCTTGATATGTGGAGTAGGAAGGGGAGAGAATAATCTTGCATGCCCTCTTTTGCACTTTTTCTAGGTGTTTACGTTGTGTGGCATTTAGGGAGGAAGACCAGGTGGGGGAGGCATAGGTGAGCTTGGGAAGTATGAATGTTGTGTATACACTGAGGAGCTCGTGTGCAGGAACTCCGAGGGACTTGAGTCGGCGGAGCAGGTGGAGACGGAAACTGGAGGCTTTGACAACTTCACTGACGTGTGGTTTCCAATTTAGTTTGTTGTCTATGGTGACGCCGAGGAGCTTCGTGGAATCTACAACCTGGAGTGTGTTCGGACCTAGGGTAATGGAAGGAGGTGGGACAATGTCGGAGGAGAGGTTGATGTGCATAACCATGGTCTTGGTATGGTTGATGGTGACATGGTTGTTGGTGGCCCAGTTTTGGAGACTGTTCAATAAATCCTGGAGGGCGGTATAGTTGGGAGCAGAATTGTTGACGCTGATCCCAATGGTGGAGTCGTCGACATATTTCCAGCGAGCAGGGGTTTCTCTTAGGGCATCATTGATGAGCATAAGGAAGCAGAGTGGTCCCATCTTGGTGCCTTGGGGGACGCCACAGGTGAGTGACTGAAAGGTGGAGACAGCCCCTCGGAAGCGTACAGCTTGGCGTCGGTCACTGAGGAAGTCTGTAAGCCATGGTATGAGACTTCTCCGAAGCCCGAGGTCAATAGCTTTGTTTATGATTATATTGTGGTCGACTAGGTCGAACGCTTTAGTGAAATCAATGAAGGCGACAGCTACAGACGTTTTTCGTTTCTCGAGATGGCGGTATATGTAATCGAGAAAGCTGACAAGACAGTGAGTGGTGGAGGAAGTTTTCATGTTGCCAAATTGCTGAGGGTCTACGACTCCTGCAATATCAGCATAAGCCCAGTCAAACACAAAACTTTCACAGATTAGGCTGGGTATTGGGGTGATTGCAATAGGTCGTAGCTGATTTAAGGATTGTGGGCTGGTTGACTTGGGCACTGGTGATACATAAGAGGTGTGTGTATGTGGGGGGGGGGGCGTGATTCTGTGAGTCACTCAAAACAACAGGGTGGGGTTGTGAGCACTCAAAACAACAGAGTGGGGTTGTGAGTCACTCAGAACAGTAAGGTGGGGTTGTGAGTCACTCTGAACAGCAGGGTGGGGTTGTGAGTCACTCAGAACACCAGGGTGGGGTTACTTTTACTTTTACTTTTATCCTCTTCGCCACTGATCGGCTTGTTAGCCGCTTGGGCGATCGGTCATGTTTCTTTTCATTTATCTTCACCAAAAGATCGGCTCACTAGCCGCCCGGGCGATCGGTCACGTCTCTGTCACGCACTGTTGGCAAATACTGGGCATGCACCGGCTCCTGAATGTACCTGAACTCGCTCCAGTGTTGGTCAAGTCTTGTCTTGAAAGAGCTCACACTCGGTGCCGTCACAACACTCTCTGGTAGATTGTTCCAAGAGTTCACAACCCTCACTCCGAAAAAGTTTGCCCTCACGGTTTTCTGGACTTGCGGCTTCTTCAATCTTGAGCTGTGACCCCTTGAGGGGCGAGCGTCCGCCAGCTCCAAGTAAGGACACTCAACTGAGTAGTGCCCCCTGAGATGCTTATACACCTCAACTAGGTCCCCCCTTGCCCGTCTGTAGTATAAGCGAGGCAAGTTCAGGCGCTCCAATCTCTCAGGGTAGCTGAGGCGCTGAAGTGCAGGCACCAGTCTGGTGGCCCTCCTTTGAACATTTTCAACCAACTGACAGTCCCTAGCATATCTCGGGGACCAGATGGGGTGACAGTATTCCAGATGGGGAAGCACTTCACTCCTGAAGATCGTTACGAGGGACGGACCGTCTAGATATATGAACGACCTTCTTATAAGACCCAATAATTTGTTTGCCTGATTTACCTTCTTCTCACAATGGCCCGAGAACTTCAGCTCATTGTCAACATACACACCTAGGTCCTTCTCACACACAGTCTCAACTAGTGCAGTTTTTTCATCCCGTTGGGACATATGATACGTTTCCTTACCGTTGGTACGCCCCAGGTGCATCCTCTTACACTTCGTGACATTGAATCTCAGCAGCCAATTCTTCGACCATTCCTGGACCCCACAGAGGTCCTTCTGCAGCTCTTCACAGTCCGCTTGGTTCTTAATTTCCCGAAATAACTTGGCGTCGTCGGCAAACATTTGTATATAGGAGTGTACAACGTCAGGCATGTCATTTATGAAACAAACAAACAACAGCGGGTCCAATACACTTCCCTGTGGTACCCCACTTGTTACAGGTACAGATGGCGATTTCGTGCCATTAATCACCACACACTGCTTGCGGTCATGTAGAAAGTCTTCTATCCACGCAGGGACATTTCCCCGAATTCCGTACCCTTCCAGTTTGCTTTTCAGCCTTTCGTGGGGTACACTGTCGAAAGCCTTGGCAAAATCTAGGCAAATATTGTTGATATTACCACCCCGTTCCAGAATATGGGTCCAAATATCCAATACCTTGAGCAATTGTGTGGGGTGGGGTTGAGTCACTCAGAACAGCAGGGTAGGGTTGTGAGTCACTCAAAATAGCTGGGTGGGGTTGTGAGTCAGTAGGTTTGTGGTTATTTATTACAAGTGGTCAGTGGCTGGGGGCGAGGCTGGAGATTCATGTGAGGTTGAGGCAGCATCAGGTGGTGTGGGCAGACAGGCGCGCGTGACCCACACAGAAGAGGAGTCTTTGTAAGATGCTCATGTGATGTTGACTCAGCATTTTCCTGGATTACTGACTGTTAGTCTGTGTGGTTGCGCCTTGAGGTGGCTCCCAGTATCTTACCTCATGATCTAAGCTCTGGTCAGCTTCCTTTTGGTCTTGGGAGTCAGGACCACCACCATCTCTGAGTGCCGAAGGTTAGTCCAACCCTTTCTTTGTGCTGTACTGTAGATCTTCAGCTTTTTTGGTGCTTATGCATGGCATCATCATCAATGTTGTTGGAAATCAAAGTGTCTGCATTTACGTGTATAGAGGTCTTGGTCTACTCCCTATGCTTGGTGAGTCTGAGAGCAGCGTCTCGTAAGTGTATTTGAAGATGTGGTAAACCTTAATGAGTACTGTAACTGAAGTTTCTACTTTGTGTGTTTAACAATGGTCATGTCTTTAATGTTTGATGGAAGTCAGGTTTACTCAGGTCACTATATTGTGTGGTGCTTTAGTCCAATGCTTGCCTGCGGAGAGAAAATGTGATCATCCTTCTACGTTGAAGAGGACAGATAATAAGCCCTCTCTCCTGATTAGATATTCGAACTCAGTGAAATGATATTCACCTAAAAGTAATTTAATCATTGATAAGCATTGTTCCATATCCAGATAAATATAGCCAAAGAACGACGTCTTCACATATCTATAAAGAAACTAGATATTAAATAAATGAATGTAAATATTTGGCATAGCGTGTCCGACCACACGCTGTCACTGGGTAATAAGGCTGGCGACTCAGTGGTGACCGAGAAAGAGTAAATTAGGAATAACAGTGTATACTGACCATCACGTATGAGCTGGATTCGAGTGAAATTTTGTATAAGTGAAATTGGAGCAAAAAGATAACTGAACTGTTTGAATAGGATGGGTGTCGTCGAAGGTATTTGAATACGTGACTTGGTCAAAGAGGATCTCTATGGTACAGCGGTAGTGCACTTTCCTTTCACCACTGTTATTCGGGTTTGATCCACGCTTGGACTGGAAGTGAGAAAGGTGTTCTCCTTTATGACTCGACAGAATATTCGCAAGATTTTTCCTGGAGTACCAGTGCCCTACTGTATTAATACTGGAATAGCTCTTCCGGCTAGTAAGCTGAGAAGTGGTGAAGATGATAAGCTTGTAAATAGTGACAGTCAGTATGATATAAAAACATCAGTCACGTGTTTTGGATAAACCTATAAGGGAAGCATGGATTACTTTTAAGGAAAGTTTAAGCCTCCTAGAGGAGTTGAAGGGCGTCCTCAATTGTATGGGATGGCAGGAACTGATGTGCCGGTGGAAGTGAGGTTAAGGTTGACCATTGTGTTGGCAGTAAATTCCAAATAATTTTAGTTTTTTAGTGTTGTTGTTCGTCGTTAGTATTTCCAATAAAACTGATGAAAATGTTGTTTTCTTCGTGGCACAGTTCCAGCCCTCGACGCGACAATATTAAAAATGATTGTAAATATTTAACAAAGGCCAACAATATATGATGACGGAATCAATGAAATTAACTTCATTACAGTAAAATATATAAATTTTGTTTTAGCAATTTATATTATGCAAATTTTATTTGGAATTAAGTAATAAATAATATCTTAAAATATCAAACTGAACATTCAATATTGTATTAACCATACACATACCGGTACTGTACTGTACATCCCCATGACAGTTGAACTGTAAAAGTGAGGATGCTACATTGCTATGAATGCATATGATTGCTGTGGAGTCTGGCGACAGGTCTCTGATATGACATTCAAGTGATTGGCAAGAGGTTTGTTTTAAAAAAAATAATATTACGTCTTCTGAAAAGAAATTGTATTTCATACTTAAATAATATTATCTATGTGATTGTTCTTGATTTAAACACAACTTTTATATATTTGACATATGGAGTTTGAATTAAAAAAAACATATTATTCATGACATATTGTGCACATAACAAGCCACCTTTCTGTTCCTCCTTCAAATGATGTCGTCAGAGATCTGGTTAAATCTCACTCACGCATTTATATATACCTAAATTCTGATAATATATTACTTTAATTATTATTTTGGCATTATATCACAAACATCGAACCAGTATTCTGTGAGCATTACATAGAAAAATATTTTTCCTCGGTTCTCTTTTAACATGTGATATCATGAAGTCCTTAATCAGCCTCAGCTCTGATGCCTCGTGTGACATCATCAACTACCCGAGCATGATACAAGCATTAAATTTTAAAAAAGGTGGGGGAAGTTTTAAGACTTTTTGGCGTGAAAAGTTGACTCTATCTATCTAATGGCCACCCACAAAAGGTGGCCATGTCGACGGAAGGAGGCCAGTAGCCTATATAGGATCCTCAATTGTTCTTTATAATTTGTCAAGTGCTATTTTGAAGCCCACTACTGTTCTTGATTCCATAGCTTGGGCTGGTAGACTGTTCCATAGGTCTTTCTGAAGGTAGGTTTTCCATGCCTGTATACAGTAATCCAGACTGGGATGTACTTGAGATTTGTATTCAAAGGTACAGTTTTATAATTCCCGCATTCAGTAAATGATCTATCACAACGCTCAGGTGAAACTTGAAACATGTGGGAGTTGCTTAAGAAAGTATTTTTCCTCTGGAGTATGAGTGTGAGGGTATGTAAGGGTGTGAAGGTATGTAAGGGTGTGTGTGGGTGTGTGTGGGTGCGTGTTGGTGTGTGGGTGTGAGGTTGAGTTCAGCGGGATTTATACTTCACCAGGGCTACCTACTGCTCTGGGCTCTTATAGACAGGATATATAACTCTAGGCACAAAGCAGGACAAGGTTTCTTTAGAGAGACGTCAATATGTTTTTAACAGACCATACATGTAGTGGGTGTTCTTGAGCTTACAGTAGGTTACGGAGGAAGGTCTAGAGGACGGTGTGTGAGGTATGTTTGAATATTTTTAACCCTTAGCTGGCTCTTTTATTTCTTCGTGTTTCTTGTGCTTCTGCTTTCAGTTTAATTTGATTGAATTGCAAGTTTCTTTCTTAGGTCATTGAGTTTTTTCTGTGCCGCTGTAGGTACCGTACGTTTGCTTCATGAATATGAATACACGATTTTTTTTACACAAACATGTCAAAATATGCAAAAAAAATCAAATTATTTTTTATCAATAATTTATATTTTAGGTATGTTGGACCTATATGTTGGCTCCCCTATAATTTATATTTTGGCTAATTTTGTGCCTTTTATAATTCCTTGGCTGTACAGGGTCAGAGTCCAGGCCAGACTATCAGTGGAGTGCCTAACATAAAGAAGTTTGCGCTAGTTACAGTGCCTGCAGGGAGAGAGGAATCCAGGTAGCGGCTAACGAGCCGATCAGTGGTGAAGTGGTGGCTTTGGTCTTATTGGCCTTAACTTGATAGCACTTTAGTGATTCACGAACACAAGGCTAACTGAGTAAAACACAAGTCCTATTTATATCACACATAAATTATGTTGTTTCCTGATCATTCCTGGCAAGGTTCAACGAATTCCGTCTTTGAGAGAAATATAAACTGTTCCTAATATATTCGCAGTTTTATGATACAATGTCTGTCTCTGATTAATAAATATTCGGTCCAATGATGAGAATTATACTGTATAAAGTCCGTTCTTTAAGGAGAAAATCTTAGTCCAAAGAGGAATACAGTACAGGTATTACAATGTCAAGTCTGTCACTTACTGAGACAGACTCTATCCAAAAATAGTCAATATGTCGTAAAGTCCACCTTTGATGGGGGCAAAACAAATACTTGAATTTTGGAGGAGAGTGATTAACCAAAACCTTCTTCTAAGAAAAACTTCACTCTTGAGAGATGTATTTCTTTTCTTTTTATTGGGCACCCCCCTACATCCTTGTGTAAGGTGAAGCGCAGAAGCGTTTACAGCGCCCAACAGGGAAGCATGATAAGTTCATGCTTGCCTTTATGTCTCATGAGTTAAGGGCGTAGAAGCCTGAAGAGTCAATGGTTTATGTCTAAGCAAGTTATTGGAAGTTCCAACAACTTGTCCCTGAATACGAATTCGCAACTTTCGATTTACGGCTGCTAGGTGAACAGGGACCAAGGGAGGCTGGGAAGTGTGTCTGAACAACTTTCCACCGGCCCGGGAATCGAACCCGTGACATCTCGCTTGCGAGGCAAGAGCGGTACCGTTCTACCCTGAGAGGCATTGTTGTTAAAATTCCATCTCTGACAGGAAGAGACTAGACCCCCCTCCCTTCCCCTCCCCTCGAGTTCAATAAAAAGTAAAAACGCCTTTTTTTTTAGTTTAACAAATTTATTGACAAAGCTTGGAGTGCAGTTTGCCTATTCTGAGTAATTCAGTCAGGTCTTGACACTGAGGGTGGTATCACTTCTCACTGCCACGCAGGACAGAGGTTCATGCACAAAGAAATACATCATGTTCATTAACAGTATATATATATATATATATATATATATATATATATATATATATATATATATATATATATATATATATATATATATATATATATATATATATATATATATATATATATATAAAGACACCACAACAGAGCAGCGCCTTCAGACAGCCTCAAGTAACAAGAATGGTGAGGATAAACACAGGCCCTCTGTACCGTAAGCCAGGCCAGCCCGACAGAGTCACGTCCTGGTGCAAGACGCAACAAGTAACATGGACGTGGAAGATTCTCGAGGCCGTTAACTTATATAAGGTATACAGTACAATGATGTAGACGAAATTCAGAGGTGGATGGAAGGGCTGCTAACCCGAACATCCGTATTTGGGAAAAACGAGGTCCTAAAATTGATATAGTCCCGTTTACACCCAACCCCTATCGCTCATACATCCATCCAACCTATGTTTGAAGCATTCCAGCTTATTCAAGTTAATGATGATGTTTGGTAACTTTTTCCACTTATCCACTGTTTCGCGCCTAAATCAAAATTAGTCTAATTCAAAACCAATGCTACGAGTTCGCTCTTGGTTGGATAATTTGAGTACCTTTGTTATATCACCTTTGTTTAGCCCTGACTTCCAGTTATACATTTATACACCTCGATCATATCGCCCCTCACTCTACGTCTATCGAGGGAGTGCAAACTAAGATGCTCAAACCTGTCTTTGTACACAAGGTTCCTAATGCCCGGGATTAGTCTTGTCATTCTCCTCTGAATTCTTTCTAGGGATTCTATATCCATTCTGAAGTACGGTGACCAGAACTGAACTGCGTAATCCAAGTGAGGTCTCACAAGCGCAAGATGTAGCTTTTAGGATAACCTCGCTATTCTTGTAACTAACACTCCTTTGTATGAACCCAAGTACTTTGTTAGCCTTGTTTCGAGCAACACATTGGTGACTTGGTTTAAGATTCCTACTTATCATTAGTCCTAAATCTTTCTCACAGTCGGATTTTTTGTTAACAACGTTGTTCATCTGGTATCTGGTTTCTCTGTTTGCATCTCAAAGATTAAGTACTTTACTTTTGTCTACATTAAATTTCATCTGTCATTTTTCAGACCATGCAAAAATTTTCTTTAGATATTCCTGTAGGTTTGCGTACTCCTCGTCAGATTTAATTACACGCCCTATTTTAGTGCCATCAGCACGTTTACTTATGTTGCTGTCTACGCCTATCTATGTCGTTTATGTAAATAATAAATTGCAATGGTCTAAGTATACTGAGCCCTGGGGTACTCCACTAGTGATGTTACGCCAATCGGATTTAGTGCCGTTAATGCTCTCTCGCTGTTTCCTGTCCTGTAACCACGCCCTTAATCCATTTTAGAATATCTCCTCTAATTCCACGAGCTTCCACTTTTCGTATTAGTCTTTCGTGGGGGACTCTGTCGAAGGCTTTGCTAAAGTCGAGATATATCACATCATAATCGTACCTGTCACCCACTGATTCGAAAACAGTTGTAAAGAATGTTAATAGATTAGTCAGACATGATCGCCCACTTATGAAGCCATGTTGGGAATCATTGATCAACTTGTGCTTCTCCATGTGATTTCGAATAGAGTTTGAAATTATTGCTTCCAGCAATCTGCCTACAATTGATGTTAAACTGATTGGACGGTACAGTACTTAGAGGATAGTGATCTATCTCCCTTCTTGAAAATCGGAATTACATTCTCTATCCTCCAGGATTCTGGTACTACACCCGTTTTTAATGACATGTTAAACAAATTTGCTGAGGGCATACTAAGTTCTTCCTTACATTCTTTTAATACTCTGGCAGATATCTCATCGGGACCTGATGACTTATTAGGCTTTAGCTTGTCTATTTGCTTACTAACATCGTTACTAGTTACTACTATCTCGCTTAATTTGTTTTCTTCACTATCTCTGAATAGAGTCGGTGCCTCGGGTATCATGTTTAAATTTTCGGTGGTGAAAACTGTTGAAAAATATCTGTTCATATTATCGCTCATTTCTCTATCGTTATCCATTAGCTCGCCTGCATCTGACTGTATTGGTCCAATCTTTTCTCGTGTTTTAGTTTGATACATTTGGAAGAATCCCTTTGGGTTTGACTTTGCCTCCCTTGCTACCTTCAGTTCATTATTCCTCTTTGCTTTTCTTATCTCGGTCTTAACCCTACTGGCCAATACCATATAATAATCTCGGAGGTAAACTTCACCACGAATTATTCTCCTACCTATATATCCTTCCTTTGTCCAATAATATTCTTTAAATAATTATTTATCCATTTGGGGTCATTGCTATTTGATCAGAGTTTTTTGTATGGTATGTTCTGCCTTTGTGCACCAAGTAACTCATTAATTCAATAAAGTATCTCATTAATGAACTATTTTAAGCAGCAACTATTGACCTGGTTTCCAATTATTTATATATATTATATAACGTGCCTGCAATTATGCAGGTGGGACAGTGGGTGTGGATGTGAGTTAGTACAGTACTTGCAAGTGCGGGTTAGTGTCTGATTTTATACGTACTGTAGGTATACTGTATTTATTTCAATGTATATTTTTGTATACATATAGATTGTAGAACAAAAAGATAAACATAAGCAAGACAATAGAGCCGTAGTAGTTAAAACCTACAAGGAATGAGTTGAAAGTTAAGCTGGTGGACCTTTCGGACAGCACGGTCAAGGCGACGCAGCTTATCTAATCTTTTAAAGATACTGTCCATCTCACAGCGACCTCACAACCTAATCTTCTTTTCTGGTATTATTGCACAGATGTTGTCCATCTTACACAACCTCATACCTGATCATATTCCACAGATCGTAGCAGCCAGGTTACCGCAAGTCCCTGAAGAGGGACGCCGTAAAAGAGTGACAGCTGAGCCAGCCACAAGATGGCGTTCAAAGCCTGGTTAGTCTACCGATGGCGTCAGGTGAGATACATCTACTCTTTGAATATACCAAAAGTTGCATGCAAAGTTAAATTTGGGTGAATCCTACAATATCCAGAAATATAAATGTGAGAATAAAGTCATCTTTTGCTGTGCACCTAAAGTTGGGATATTCAGTTTACGTATTCATACTTTCCTATAAAGATCGTATTTCGTAAAAGATAATTACCCAGCGTACAAAAGTTTCCCCAACACTCATAAAATCACCTTCTCACAATAATTTCTTCACTTAAATGTTTCTTAAAATTATGACTTGTTACTTATATATGCTATGATGTCACTTATTTGTGTGCACTAGAGATTCCCCTTTTCCACTTTAATTTTATAGTTTACAACTTGAGTCTTTGTCCACACATTATATAATTGGCAGTTAGTACGTTCCTCCATTCACCCACTTATTCCGCCTGCAGTTATAATCAGCATCAATCTTGCATTAGTGAGTCGAACTTCCGTTTTTATCCATCTTGTCATACAATACCACACTCGGCGACTTACTTTCTTACTTCAGAGCAATTCTCTCTCTCTCTCTCTCTCTCTCTCTCTCTCTCTCGTAAAACAGGCTCACATAATCACTACACATATATTAATGTAGTGGGCATCAACGTTGTCTCTCATGGTGTCCCGTAAGGTTCCATCCACGGTCAAGTATTACTCCTGTCACAGATAAATAATAGACTCGGCTCCAATGCGCACATGATTTTCATTTACTCTATTGGAAATCAAATGTCTTGTACTTTTGTTTCCCAATTTTACGTAAAAATAATTTCAATATAAATTTGCCGTTAACAATAAGCTTACAGCGTCCTCCCGTTAATCATGAGTTAGCAGCTTCCTCCGTTAACTATTAAAATGGGACTCATAGGTCAGACAACCCCCTTTAGGGAAGAGAACATACAGCACGCTGAACTATAAGGTTTCAGTACACAAGGTCGGCATTGCACTCGACCGCCCTGACTTGGCCAACTGCAAAGTTAGGCATCCATTTACAAATAAATGGATTAGTCATCCTCAGGGCATGGCGTGAACTCTATGCAATCGACCTATTAACTCTTTGTGAAAAATGTCTCGTTAAGTACGGGATTTATTTATTTATTTGTCTTATTTATTTACTTGTTTATTTTTTTACAGGGATTAACCCACCCGGGCACAGGTCATAGTAAATAAATTTTAATACAAAATACACAATTATAAATAACATAATAAAATAATGATAACAATAATAATAATAATAACAACACTATGCTTTCAATATCTTCCCAGGGGGTAGTACTTCCCTGTGCCTACTGCCTACTACAGCATTTCCTCCTGTTAACTACAAGTCAACAATGTACGTCTGGTAAAAACGAGTTAAAAGAGTTCTCGTCTGACTTGTTTGTTAACTTTATCTTTCTATTTAAGTGTCATCCTGTTAACCATGATTTAGCAGCATCATCCTTTCAGATATTAGTTAACACGGCCATCCTTACTGCTCAAGTTAACTGCAAGTCTGTAATTCCTAAGTAAAGAGGAAAATTACGTACAAATTTGTTAAGAGCTTGAGTCGTGATAATATGTCCCCAGATCACTGCGCCATGGGTACTGATGGAGACCTATAGTATTGTGTTCCCTAGTACGAACACACCAAAAAACATCTTTACGATTTTGTGTTAGACAATATGATCGAGACAACAGGAGTCGCATCTCTGAGTCGGTTGTGTTGGTGTACGGGTTGCAATAACCTCAGGATTACTGTATTTTCTTTTTCATAGGAGCAGATCTGGGCGTACTGACGTGTGCACAACACTACACATGATCATCCTTTCCATCCTGGTGCAAAGATTTATGTCAGGTGCGCAGTCCTGTGATTGGATAACTAGGCTAACCCCTTTATTCCCTATATGCGCAGATTTGTGCGTCATGTGTGGTGGTGTGCGCAGTGTTGTGTACGGGCAATGTGGTAGGGTGGTCGGTGGAGGTGTCGCGTATCATGGAGGATCCCACCACCAACTTTAACCTCACCCAAGACGACCAACAGTGGCTAGGTGAGTCTCCTACCAGCTAAAACTCTACCATGGTTAGGTCAAACTGAGTCCAGCCTTGATCATGCCAAGCTTAGGACACATTAAGCCCAGACAAGGTTAAGGGCCAAGTCGTCAAGCCTACACTAGGTTGAACATACAGTAGGTCAGGTGCATTAGCTAGGTCAAGTCAAGCCCAGAGTAGGTCAAACCCTGATAGTATTCCCTCGAAATAATATCAACAAATACAGCTTCGCTCTCTGAATTTAAAATTTCGATTTATTCTTTCTAATCCTGATTATAGGGTGTTTCCATGTATAAAGCTGTATTGTGCTTACTGCAACGGAACTTGTATGTGCACATACAGACGTGTGTGTAAATAATAATAATAATAATAATAATAATAATAATAATAATAATAATAATTAACGGTTTATTGAAAAAATTCTGCAGCCCGAAGGCTGAAAATATACATTGGACATAAATGACTTATTACATACATTGGTGGTTTAACAAAAGCCTTCATTAGAGAAAGGTAAAGGAACATACAGTGAACATACAGATTAATGTAGGTGTTGAACAGCAAACTCGTAGTGTAGTAACTCCCTCCCAGATGGTGTTAGAAGGAACTCACGTGGTGTAGTAGTTCCCTCAGATGGTGTTATGAGGGACCTGGCGTGGTGTAGTAATTCCCTCGCAGATGGTGTTATGAGTGGCCTCACGTGGTGTAGTAATTCCCTCACAGATGGTGTTATGAGGGACCTCACGTGGTGTAGTAATTACCTCACAGATGGTGTTATGAGGGGCCTCACGTGGTGTAGTAACTCCTTCACAGATGGTGTTATGAGGGGCATCACGTGGTGTAGTAATTCCCTCACAGATGGTGTTATGAGGGGCCTGACGTGGTGTAGTAATTCCCTCACAGATGGTGTTATGAGGGACCTCACGTGGTGTAGTAATTCCCTCACAGATTGTGTTATATGAGTGAGGTGTGGTCTTAGGCCTTCCTATCGTAGACGAATTAACACATAGCTGGTTGTTGTTGGGTCTCATGGGCCTTTATCACTGGGTACCTGGGACCTCACTGTGTGAAGGTTAACTTGGGTACGACTGTTACTGTTGAGTTGTTCTCACTGACTTAAGCACTGTTCACCATTGTTCACCTCTGTTTAACACTGGTTCCGTTCCTTTCCTAAATGAAATTGTAACTTCTGGCGAGAACTTGTTGATATTCCGGTGGGGAGGAGGGTTCAGGGGAGGGGGTTGGTATGGGCCAACTTAACAGTTGACCTGGCTGCTCCGAGAGGAGCGCCAGGTACGTCTTGACCCTTCGGTGGTCAAGGCTGTAGTGAAATTACATAAATGAATATTCAGCACCTCAAGACCAGCTCCAGTATACTCCACGCCAGTATGAAGGCCACCGGGATGAATTCTAGTCCTAAAATAAGGTAAACAAGGTAAAACATATTCTACGTGTAATTATCAACCATAGTTATCATCGTGGTGGCCGACGGTCAGGTCAATGATCATTCAACTTTACAGTACTGGAACCGCAGACTATAAAATAAATTGACTCAATAATACCATGCATTATTATAAGTAACGTCTGGTCTGTATCCCATACTCCTGAAGATGTGTGTGTCCCAGCGGTGTTCCCATGATGAGATGTGTTGGGAGGTGTCAGTGTACACATGTGCCTACAGTTTGGTATATGGAAGTGGTGTCAGTGTACACATGTGCCTACAGTTTGGTATATGGAGGAGGTGTCAGTGTACACATGTGCCTACAGTTTGGTATATGGAGGTGGGGTCAGTGTATACATGTGCTCACAGTTTGGTGTATGGAGGTGGTGTCAGTGTACACATGTGCCGACAGTTTGGTGTATGGAGGTGGTGTCAGTATACACATGTGCCTACAGTTTGGTATATGGAGGAGGTGTCAGTGTACACATGTGCCCACAGTTTGGTATATGGAGGTGGGGTTAGTGTATACATGTGCCGACAGTTTGGTGTATGGAGGTGGTGTCAGTATACACATGTGCCTACAGTTTGGTGTATGGAGGTGGTGTCAGCGTACACATGTGCCGACAGTTTGGTATATGGAAGTGGTGTCAGTATACACATGTGCCTACAGTTTGGTATATGGAGGAGGTGTCAGTGTACACATGTGCCCACAGTTTGGTATATGGAGGTGGGGTTAGTGTATACATGTGCTCACAGTTTGGTGTATGGAGGTGGTGTCAGTGTACAGTTTGGTGTATGGAAGTGGTGTCAGTATACACATGTGCTACAGTTTGGTATATGGAGGAGGTGTCAGTGTATACATGTGCTCACAGTTTGGTGTGTGGAGGTGGTGTCAGTGTACACATGTGCCAACAGTTTGGTGAATGGAGGTGGTGTCAGTGTACACATGTGCCAACAGTTTTGTGTATGGAGGTGGTGTCAGTGTACACATGTGCCAACAGTTTGGTGTATGGAGGTGGTGTCAGTGTGCACATGTGCCAACAGTTTTGTGTATGGAGGTGGTGTCAGTGTACACATGTGCCCACAGTTTGGTATATGGAGGTGGTGTCAGTGCACACATGTGCCAACAGTTTGGTGTATGGAGGTGGTGTCAGTGTACACATGTGCCCACAGTTTGGTATATGGAGGTGGTGTCAGTGTACACATGTGCCAACAGTTTGGTGTATGGAGGTGGTGTCAGTGTACACATGTGCCAACAGTTTGGTGTATGGAGGTGGTGTCAGTGTACACATGTGCCAACAGTTTTGTGTATGGAGGTGGTATCAGTGTATACATGTGCCCACAGTGTCGTGTGCCGGTGTGGTAGCCATCTTCACTACAGCAGGGAGCGGGGTACTGGTGGAAGCTATAGGTCCGTGTCGTCTACTGAGCTTCGTGCTGCTGCCCGCCACGGTGGGCTGGGTGCTCATGGCTGCCTCAAACTCCCTCCCCTGGATCTATGTGGGCAGGATCATCACCGGTGGCGTAGGCTTTATGCTCACCACTGTGGTCCAGGTAAGTGCTGAAGGCTTTTTACGGTCTGTCAAAGCGATACAAGAATATTGACTTCCATTGAAGTCAACATTATTTTGTTTTCACGCAACTTGCCTGAAGCCATTATTACTATTCTTAAAATCCTTTTACTGAGTGAAATACACACACTACCTTATAAACCTGACGCTAGAGATACCCGCTAAGGCTTGCACTCTCCTTATTTCTAGTCAGCGAAATTTGTTACAGATCCTTTTCATATAAACAACTTCACAACTGCCCTCTAACCCTGCAGCTCTTATCAACCCAACACTTATTTTTTTTTTACTTTTATCCTTTTCGCCACTGATCGGCTCGTTCGCCGCTTGGGTGGTCAGTCACGTCTCTGTTACGCAATGTTGGCAAGTACTGAGCATGCACTGGCTCCTGAATGTATCTGAACCTGCTCCAGTGCTGGTCAAGTCTCGTCTTGAAAACAACTCACACTCGGCGCTGGTAGGTCATTCCATGAGTTCACAATCTCACTCCGAAAAAGTTCACCTTCACAGTTTTCTGGACTTGCGGCTTCTTCAACCTTGAGCTGTGACTCCTTGTGGGGCGAGTGTCCGCCGGCTCCAGGTATGGACCATCGACTGAGTAGTGCCCTTTGAGATGTTTGTACAGCTCATTTAAGTCACCCCTTGCCCGTCTGTAGTATAAGCTAAACAATTTCAGGCGCACTAATCTCTCTGGGTAGTTGAGGTGCCGAAGTGCAGGCACCAGTCTGGTGACCCTCATTTGGACATTTTCAATCAACTAACAGTCCCGAGCATATCTCGGGGACCGATCGGGGTGACAGTACTCCAGGCGGGGAAGCACCTCACTCTTGAAGATCGTTATGAGGGTGGACCGTCTAGATATCTGAACAACCTTCTTATAAGACCACCTAATAATTGAGTTGCTTGATTCACCTTCTTCTCGCAATGACCTAGGTACTTTTCGCATTCAGTCTCTATTAATGCAGTTTATTCGTCTCGTTGGTACATATGATACGCCTCCTTACAGTTGGTACGTCCCAGATGCATCCTCTTACACTTAGTGACATTAAATCTCAGCAGCCATTTCTTCAACCATTCTTGAAGCCCACGGAGATCTTTCTGCAGCTTTTCACAGTCTGTTTGGTTCTTAATTTCCCTAAATAACTTAGCATCGTCCACATATCATTTATGAAGCAAACAAATAACAGCGGGCCCAATACACCGCCCTGTGGACTCCCCGCTTGTCACGGGTACACATGACGTTTTCGTACCATTAATCACCACACACTGCTGGCGATCATACGGAAAGTCTCCGAACCACGCTAGGACACATCCCCGAATCCAGTACCCTTCCAGTTTAATTTTCAGCCTTTCATGAGGTACACTGTCGAAAGCCTTGGCAAAATTTAGGTATATATGTCGATATTACCACACCGTTCCAGAATTTGGGTCCAAACATCCAGTACCTTGAGTAATTGTGTTAACGAGGAGCGCCCTTGCATAAAACCGTATTGGCAATCCTTTACAATGTTGTTTCGTAGTAGATTTTCCACCATGGCATCTCTTATATTACTCTCAAGTACTTTACATACTGTGCTGGTCAGGCTCACCGGTCTATAATTGTTCAATGAGTGACGATCGCCCTTCTTGAAGATAGGACTCACGTAAGCCATTTTCCAATCACTGGGGACCTTTTGTTCATCCAGGCATTTGCAGAACAGGATCTTCAGGGGCTCGGCAAGCTCGTTGCACAACTCTTTTAGCACTCTAGGATGCACCATGTCAGGGCCGGGACTCTTATGAACCTTTAGCTTTGACAATTTATTTCTTATAACTTCTTCTGAGAACACAATGTGGGTCAGTGCTGTGTCGAACCGTCTGTCCTCAAACGCAGGAAGATTGTTCGCATCCTCTCTTGTGAACACTGAGGAAAAGAAACTGTTCAACACCTCCGCCTTGTCCTGGTCAGAATTTGCTTAACTACCATTTTCAAGCCTTAGGTCCAATATACCTACTCGCCTTTTTAATTTCGACTTTGCATAGCAGTATATCGCCTTTGGGTTTGGCTTGACCTCGCTTGCAATCTGACTCTGAAATTCCTTTTCAGCCCTTCTACACTTTGACTTTGCTTGGTTTCTGGATTTGGCATACATCTGCCTGTCTTGCTCATAGTTTGTCCTAACCCACGTCTTGAATTTCTGAGTTTTCTTCTAAACTTTGTCGACCACCGCATGGTTCATGTATAGCGGTCTCATTGTATTCCTAGAGGCACTGGGTTTGGTCTTGGGTATATATTTATCGATCAAATGGTTCACTTTACTGGCTATAATATTCAGTGTAGTGTCTGCGTTCTCATACCTTAGTGAGTCAGGCCAGTGGATACCCCTCATCTCCTCGCCGTAATTACCCTTGTAATATTTGAACCTTGGCCTAGTTTTGTCATGAACCAAATAATTGTTAAATATGAGGGACAACGTTACGTGATGACTGGTGCCAACCAATAGCGTGTTGTCAGTTATTTACCTCTATATAATAAATTTTACTCTAAGAAATCTAACTGCAACAACATTGTAGGACAGTGCTGTAATCAATAAGAGCCTGATAGAAGTAGATATTTGTTTATTCAAACACTCTCTCTCTCTCTCTCTCTCTCTCTCTCTCTCTCTCTTTCTCTTCTTTACCTGAAAATGTCAATAAAGAGAGCCAAGAAGTTTGTGGAGGCAATCATGATCCTCCCTTATCGTGCTGACTATAATTATATTACTATATGTTTCTCCCTTCGTGAACTCTTTGTGACCTCCTACAGCCCCTGCTGGCAGAGATGTGCACAGCGGACGTTCGTGGGCTGCTATCGACGCTGCCTGAAATGATGGTGAGCGTGGGCATGTTGCTGGTGTACGTGTTGGCTCGCTTCCTCGATTGGGAAAGCACCACCCTCATCTGCGGCATCCTCCTCTTCCCTGTCACCGTCGGGGTCCTCTTTATCCCCGAGTCGCCTTACTGGCTACTCAAGAAGGGCAAAGAAAAGATGGCTCTCAGGTGAGTGGGCGTAGGACCCAACGCAGCATTCCTAGAGGGCTGTCATGTAAGGGGTGGAAGGTTCTAGGGGGTTGTCAAGTTAGAAACGAGAGTCCTAGAAGGACTCTCAGATGATTTGAGAGTCTTGGAAGGGATCGCAGATGATTTCGAGAGTCGTAAAGGCTTTTAATTGAGGAATGGGGATCCTAAAGGGATCATAAAGTCGCCAAGTTAATGGATCCTAGGTTTTAAGATGATAGGTTAGAGTCGTAAGGAACTCTTAGTTTAGAAATGTGGACCGACGGGGCTCTCATGTGTGTACACTAAAGTCCAAAGGATTTTCTGACGAAGATTAAAACTCTCAGGGGTTCTCACACGGGAGCTAATGGGAATTACAGGGCAATCTTCCGAAGACCTTCAATGAAATCAAACGCGCATGGACTTCAGATAGACAGTATTAGTTGCAAATGATTTATATGTCAGAGGTCAATGGTGACAGTGTATATGTTATGACAGCAATAAAAATGTATAACTGGCAGCAATGAGCAAGGCCTCGCTCACAGTGGCAGGAAAAAATCTTCAAAAGTTCTCTCAGCGAGATGACTATGTATCGCTTGGACGAAATGATAATTCCCACCTGTAAAAACTTAACAAAGTTTACTCAGGAAAATTTCCCCTGTCGTAGGGCCCTCATGAAGCTAAGAGCACCCGAGCACGACGTGGACGCTGAACTGAGCACCATCCGCGATGCCATCAACCAGCAGAACCAGCACGCATCCATCGTCCAGCAGGTGCGTCCTACCTTCACCTGTCTCATCTCGTTACCTTTTTTGTTTACTGACACACAGGTGTTCTGAGTGAATCTTTGGCACACACACACACACACACACACACACACAAATGGGGTATATTGGGGATACAGAAAGATACATAGACAAATGGGGACACACACAGACACACAAACAGTGAGTACACAGAAAGGTATACAAACAAGTGAATATACAGATAAGCAAACCGAAAAGTATAAATTTCGATGCAAGAAAAGGGAACATACAGACATGTACAAACAGGGAACACACAGTAAGACATGTACAGACAGGGAGCACACAGTAACACAGCTACAGAAACAGGGAGCACACAGTAAGACATGTACAGACAGGGAGCACACAGTAAGACATGTACAGACAGGGAGCACACAGTAAGACATGTACAGACAGGGAGCACACAGTAAGACATGTACAGACAGGGAGCACACAGTAAGACATGTACAGACAGGGAGCACATAGTAAGACATGTACAGACAGGGAGCACACAGTAAGACAGCTACACAAACAGAGAACACACAGTAAGACATGTACAGACAGGGAGCACACAGTAAGACAGCTACACAGACAGAGAACACACACAAAGACATGTACAGACAGGGAGCACACAGTAAGACAGCTACACAGACAGAGAACACACACAAAGACATGTACAGACAGGGAGCACACAGTAAGACAGCTACACAGACAGAGAACACACACAAAGACATGTACAGACAGGGAGCACACAGTAAGACATGTACAGACAGGGAGCACACAGTAAGACAGCTACACAGACAGAGCATAAAGAACGAGAGAGAGAAAATAAAATACACCCCTTCCCGTACAATGTCTAAGTAGGCGCCTCTCTCCCTCCTATCCACAGTTCAAGGCGCTGAAGGAGCCGTGTAATTACCGCCCGGTGCTTCTGGTGACAGCTATCTTCATCTTGAGGGAGCTGGGTGGAGCCATGGTCATCTTCATGTACGCAGTATTCTTCTTCGAGAACGCCGGGGTGACGTTGGACCCATTCACTTGCTCAGTGTTGTTGGGTGTCTGTCGCCTCGTCTTCACATTAATCTCCGCTACGATCATCGACAAGCTGGGAAGACGACCCTTACTGATAACTTCCTCCATTATCTGTGGCATCGCGCTCTTCGTCACCGGTGTGTTAGCTACTTACGTTAGTTTAAGGAAGAATGAGTGAGTAGTATGATGGTGGTGGGGGTGTGGCGATGGTGAGAGTGATGGGATAGTGGAGGTGATAGTGTAGTGGTGGTATGGTATGGTGGGGCGTGATGGTGTGGAATGGTGGTGGTGTGACAATGTGGTGATAAAGTTTGATAGTGGTGCAGACAAAGGTAATGTGACACTTTTACTTTTACTTTTTTTTTTTTTTTGTTATCCTCTTCACCACTGATTGGCTCGTTAGCCGCTTGGGCGATCAGTCACGTCTCTGTTACGCACTGTTGGCAAGTACTGGGCATGCACCGGCTCCTGAATGTACCTGAACCTGCTCCAGTGTTGGTCAAGTCTAGTCTTGAAAGAGCTTACACTCGGTGCCGTCACAACACTTTCTGGCAGATTGTTCAAGAGTTCACAATTCCCACTCCGAAAAAGTTTGGCCTCACAGTTTTCTGGACTTACGGCTTCTTCAACTTTAAACTGTGACCCCTTGTGGGGCGAGCGTCCGCCAGCTCCAGGTCAGGGCACTCGAGGGCAGGAACCAGTGTGGCATAGGTAGTGTGATGCAGGTGGTAGTATGACAGGCAGATAAGTGATACAATAAGCCCTGGTGTTCCTACAGGTGGGGTGCTGTACACACAGGACCAGGGTGTAGGCTGGGTGCCCCTCACAGCCGTCATGGTATACGTGGCGTCGTTCGGGCTGGGGGCAGGACCTGTGCCCTGGATCCTGTTGGGAGAGTTGCTGCCCACACCCGTCCGCTCCTTGGGTGCCTCCATCGTCACCAGCATCTTCGTCATCACCCTATTCACCATCGCGCAGGTTAGGCTCTGGTTTTGTTTTGTTTTCATTGTTGTTCACAAATAAACACACTAAACCTTCTAAGATGTGATTTAAAAACTTTATGTAATAATATCTCTCTCTCTCTCTCTCTCTCTCTCTCTCTCTCTCTCTCTCTCTCTCTCTCTCTCTCTCTCTCTCTCTATATATATATATATATATATATATATATATATATATATATATATATATATATATATATATATATATAATATTGGCTATTGTTTACTTATGTTCTCTTTTCCCGTTCTCATCAACGAATATATCTCTGTGCTATCACTGTGTACACTGTATCTCCCTATGAATGATGGATTGTAGGCACAATTTCAGTCCTTGAGAAAGCACACACACAAAAAAAAATCTTTGTGGCGCCAATAAAAATAATACGACTTGGTTACTGCCGGCAGTGGTGCCTGATTTCTTGCCCAATTTGTTCTTCACTTCAAATTATTTACAACCTCCTCCGCGGTCACTGATGTCATTATGAACTGTTTTAGCTAAAGGCACAATACTGCACTCTCTGGTTGGCCTTTGGATGGTCAACCACAGCCATGAACACAACTAAAAAAAAAATCCGGGTAAATCTTGTCATATGCCAATGATTTTGTCGTTGTATTGTAGAGTTATGAGATATTGGTTCACACTCAGGATGGGTTGGAGAAAGGAACTCACAATGTGCTCTTTGTATACATATTGTATTGGATGTACAATGCAGCTTGGTGCTGGGTAGGCAGCATGGTTACAAGCGTTGAGTAGAGAGAGCTGGTTGGTGAGGGTGCCCAGAGGAGGGCACGCGGCTTGAGGGACGCCAAGGTCGCCGGCGGGAGCGGGAGCCGCCAGGCTGGAGCGGAGGAGGTGTTGCTTGCTGGTGGCAGTAGGTAGAAAGAGCGTGGTCACAGCGGGGTGAGGTCTTATAAGGCGGGGGTAGGCGTGGATTGATAGTTGACCCCCGCTCCGTCAGGCGACGCTGGAGGCGTAGGCTGAGGAATTCGAAAAGGGTTGGCTACTCAGTGACAAACGGCGTTTGTAGGGGAGGAATCCACTACAGTATGCCTCCCGACCTAGGCTGTACCTCCAGTCGGTGGAGAGTGATTTTCAAATATACAATCTCGAATAACGTTAAAAATCCTACATCGATTTACACATTCACATCACTAAGACGGTCTTCATGCTCTTATGTAATCACTGTCCATTTTCTGCCGCTGTTAGGCGCGCGGGTCGGATCGTGTTGTGTCTCTGTAACAAAGTGCGTTCGGCATTCGGGCCTTCGTTGTTGAGCGGCAGGAATTGGACAGTGATTACATAAGAACATCAAGATCGTCTTAGTGATGTGAAAGTGTAAATCGATGTAGGATTTTTAATGCTAGACGCAATTGTATTTTTGAAAACTTAATTTCCACCGAGTTGGAGGTACAATCCAGGTCAAGAGGCCTACAACCACAAAATCATTGTCATATGACAAAGCTTTTATTTTATTTTTTTACGGAGTTGTGGTCACGGCTGTGATAAAGGCCAACCAGGGAGTGTAGTACTGTGATTTTAGGTAAATCAGTTCATAGTGTCATCAGTGACCGCGGAAGAGGTTGTAAATAAATTAAAGTGAATACAAACTGGCAGGCAAGCTGGTAAGGCACCACTGCTCGCAGAGATCAAGTCGTGTCATAGGTGCCACAGAGACTTTTAATTTTAAGTTGTTTGGGGGCTTTCTAAAGGACTGAAACTGTGCCTATAATACACCATTCACAGGGAGATACAGTGTACACAGTGATAGCACAAAGAGATATAGTCGTTGATGAGAATGGGAAAAAAATATAAGGAAATAATAGTTTAAAAAAAAAAGTCAACAAGCTTGGCTATCCTAAAAGGCATTCTATTACCGCCCCCAAAGAGTTATATTTAATTTTTCTGTGTTTCAAAAGGACTGAGTGGGTGTATAAAATCCGTTATTCATAGCAAAATGCAGTGTACATACTGTAGATCCAGCACATAAATACCTCACTTGGATTACGCAGTTCATTTCTGGTCACCGTATTACAGAATGGATATAGAATCCTTGGAAAGAATCCAGAGGAGAATGACAAGACTAATCCCGGGCATTAGGAGCCTTGAATACAGAGACAGGTTAAAGCATCTTAATTTGGACTCCCTCGAGAGACGTAGAGCGAGGGGCGACATGATAGAGGTGTATAAATGAAAGTCAGGGTTAAACAAAGGGGATATTACAAAGGTACTCAAACTATCCAACCAGGAGCGAACTCGTAACAATGGTTTTAAATTAGACAAATTAAGATTTCGGCGTGAAATAGGTAAACACTGGTTTGGAAACAGAGTAGTGGATGAATGGAACAAGTTACCAAATATCATCATTAACTCGAATACGCTGGATAGCTTCAAACATAGGTTGGATGCTTATATGAGCAATAGGGGTTGGGTATAAACGAGACTGCCCAGTATGGGTCAATAGGCCCGCTGCAGTTTCCTCCATTCTTATGTTCTTATGTTCTTAACAGATGACAACCCTAAAGGCAACAGGGAAGGTTAAAACCAACAGAGGGCAGCTAAGTACTGTTTTTTCCTCTTTATTTTTAAATAGGTGTAGATCTATACACAGTCTACACCCTTAACCATGAGAGATATGATGATATATGATATGTGACTACTGCGGGGAGATGACGGATATGGATGATACAGGCCTGATCAATGCAACGTTTAGGAAGATGCTAACTGCAGTAAAGCATGAAGGCTGTTGCTGGTATTGCCCTGACTGCATAGTCAAATAGTCAAGATGCAGTTTAAGAATATTTGTACAGAGGTTCTGAAGATGCCATCAACCCCTCAGGATGTGAGGAGGCTGGGACAAAAGCAGGGGGACAAGCATTGCCCCCTCAGAATCACACTAGTGAGTGAGGAGGAGAAATGGGAGGTTATTTGGCGGGCAAAAAACTTAGCAAGGAGCGAGGCATCTCGGAGTGTATTCATTCACCCAGATTGCACAGTAATGCAGAGGGAACAGCACAGGAAGCTCCTGCAGGGCTTGAAGCAGAGAAGGGAGGAGTCGAAGAGGAGCGGGGACAGGTGTACATGGGTTGCATTCAGGGAGAGGGTGGTGGAAGCAAGTGTGCCGACACAGGGCCAGGGGACAGCAGCACCCCCTCCACCCGCTCTACCCCCTGCCCGGGAGGTGGCACCAGCTCCGCCTATCAGCCGGGAGGAAGCTAGCGCCTTGTAAACAACGACATTTCTAACCACACCCTGAAAAATACAGTGCACTTAGCAAATGCTGCAGCGTCTGAGAATGGGGGGGTTACTACTTAGAGCAGAGACGTTACCGAGAACAAATTCTAGCTTGAATGTCATGTACACTAATACTGACACGTTTCTTGATAAGAGAGAAGAGTTTGAAACAATACTGAAGGTACACCAACCAGATATTGTAGGAGTTGTAGAGCTGCTGTACAAGAACAGGAGAATCGACCCAGAGGAATGTGAGTTCAGTACTGCTGGATAAGACTCATTTACGAACCTTTCTCAAGAAACTTGCAAGAGGGGTGTGGTTATCTATGCTAGGCAAGACCTTAGAGCCAGCCAGGCGAGGGTACAGGGAGAGGATGCTTTTGAAGAGTCCAAGTGGTGTAAAATTAAACTAAAAGGAAGGGACTTACTTTATGTCGGGTGTATCTACAGATCCCCAAACTGTGGCCCACTAAATCAAAGGAACTTAAGAGCCTTAATATACAATGCGGCGATGCTCAACCCTAGCCACCTCCTTATCATGGGGGACTTTAACTATGGCGACATCGACTGGAGAAACGAGTTCACCCCAAATGACTGAATAACCCTGCTACTCTTCTTGTAGGGGAGCAAACACCCAAGCCACTAGACTTCATCATAACAAACGAGGAGGGTATGGTGGCCAAACTGGAACACCTTGCCCCAGTTGGCACCAGTCACCATATAGTGTTGTCATTCAGATATAACTGTTAGTTCAAGATAAGGCCAGGCCAAAGTACAAATATTACAAGGAAAATTACAACGGGATGAGGGAAGAAATGAGGGGTATCCACTGGCCTGACTCACTAAGGCACAGGAACGCAGACACTAAGCTGAATATCATAACTAGTAAAGTGACCCATTTGATCGAGAAATATATACCCAAAACCCAGTGCCTCTAGGAATACGAGCGGATCCCTACACATGAGCAATGCAGCAGTCGACAAAGTTAAGAAGAAAACCCAGAAATTCAAGGCGTGGGTTGGGTCAAATGATGAGCAGGACAGAAAGATGTATGCAAGAGCCAGAAACCAAGCAAAGATTGAATGTAGAAAGGCTGAAAAGGAGTTCCAGAGGCTGGTTGCAAGTGAGGTCAAGTCAAACCCAAAGACGTTTTACCGCTATGCAAAGTCGTAATTAAAAACGCGAGTAAGAGTATCAGACCTGAGGTTTGAAGATGGTAGTTATGCAGATGTAGGTCACATGAGAATAACCCGTTATAGTACCTCCTTCTTTCCTCACACAGCCAAACTGTGGAATGCTCTGCCTTCTTCTGTGTTTCCATGCTCTTACAATCTGTCTCACTTTAAAAAGCTGGTTTTCCGGGATCTTCGTGGTGTAGATTAATACAGTATAACCTTTTTTTTCTATATTTACAATTTCTTTCCGTTCTTTTTTTTTTCGCCCCCCAGGCTCCGTTGTGGGTCGTTTGACCTGTGCCCGGGTAGGCTAATTCCCGTAAAAAAAATTCTGACCAGGACATTAGACAGCTTCTTTTCTCCAGTGTTCACAAGAAGAGCTGATGGCAGCTTCTGCGTTTAGGACACGGTTCGACACGGCACTGACCCACATTGTGTTCTAGAGGGTATGAAAATAAGCTGTCAAAGCCAAAGTCCATAAGAGTCCAGCTGACATGGTGCATCCTAGAGTGCTAAGGTTGTGCTGCCAAAACTTGCGGAAGCCTGAAGATCCTGTTTTGTAAATGCCTGGATGAACAAAAGGTCCCCAGTGAATGGAAAGTGGCTTATGTGAGTCCTATCTTCAAGAAGGGCGATCGTCACTCCACGAACAACTATATAACAACTATAGATCGGTGAGCCTGACCAGCATAATATGTAAAGTACTTGAGAGTATTATCAGAGATGCCGCAGTGGAACATCTACTACGAAACAACCTCGTAAAGGATTGCCAACACGGTTTTATGCCGGGGCGCTCCTGCTTAACACAATTGCTCAAGGTATTGGATATTTGGACCCATATTCTGGAAAAGGGTGGTAATATCGACAATATTTACCTAGATTTTGCCAAGGCTTTCGACAGTGTACCCCACGAAAGGCTGAAAATCAAACTGGAAGGATACGGAATTCGGGGAAATGTCCTCGCGTGGATAGAAGACTTTCTACATGACCGCAAGCAGTGTGTGGTGATTAATGGCACTAAATCATCATCTGTACTTGTCACAAGCGGGGTACCACAGGGGAGTGTATTGGGCCCGTTGTTGCTTGTTTGTTTCATAAATGACATGCCTGACGTTGTACACTCCTCCATACAAATGTTTGCCGATGACGCCAAGTTATTTCGGGAAATCAAGAACCAAGCGGACTGTGAAGAGCTGCAGAAGGACCTCTGTGGGCTCCAAGAATGGTCGATCGAAGATATGGCTGCTGAAATTCAATGTCACGAAGTGTAAGAGGATGCACCTGGGGCGTACCAACGGTAAGGAGGCGTATCATATGTTCGAACGGGATGAAAAGACTGCATTATTTGAGACTGAATGTGAGAAGGACCTAGGTGTGTATGTTCACAATGAGCTGAAGTTCTCGGGCCATTGCGAGAAGAAGGTAAATCGGGCAAATAATTATTGGGTCTTATAAGAAGGTCGTTCAGATATCTAGACGGTCCGTCCCTCGTAACGATCTTCAAGAGTGAAGTGCTTCCCCATCTGGAGTACTGTCACCCCGTCTGGTCACCGAGATATGCTAGGGACTGTCAGTTGGTTGAAAATGTTCAAAGGAGGGCCACCAGACTGGTGCCTGCACTTCGGCACCTCAGCTACACTGAGAAATTAGAGAGCCTGAACTTGCCTCACTTATACTACAAACGGGCAAGGGGTGACCTAATTGAGGTGTATAAGCATCTCAAGGGGCACTACTCAGTTGAGTGTCCTTACTTGGAGCTGGCGGACGCTCGCCCCACAAGGGGTCACAGCTCAAGATTGAAGAAGCCGCAAGTCCAGAAAACTGTGAGGGCAAACTTTTTCGAAGTGAGAGTTGTGAACTCTTGGAACAATCTACCAGAAAGTGTTGTGATGGCACCGAGTGTGAGCTCTTTCAAGACAAGACTTGACCAACACTGGAGCAGGTTCAGGTACATTCAGGAGCCGATGCATGCCCAGTATTTGCCAACAGTGCGAAATAGAGACGTGACCGATCATGAAGCGTATAACGAGCAGTGAACTGATGTAGAAAGAAGGGATAAAATGCAAAAAACAGGCCCGAATGCCACCACGCTTTGTTACAGAGACGCAACACGACCCGACCCGCACGAAATATAAACATTAAGTAAACAGAAATAATTTTTTTTTCAATGTTCAAATAACAAAACATGGACAATGACACATTAAATACAGCCTCTGTTCCAATGTTCATATATAAGCCATTGGAAATATTCTCTTAGGACCTTACAACTGATACATTATTAGTTACACGTTTATAGTGACATCCATCCTAGTTGTCGACTTCACACTTTAAACGCATGGATAATTACCGAAAGGAAATTGTCTCTCAACTTCATAAAAAATCATAAAATGTTACAGACCCGTATGTAATCCCTTCCGAGTGCTTACAAGAATTTTCCTACTAAGATTCATCTAAATCTAATGTAAAACAGAAGACTTCGCATGCCTAAAAGAGCTATAAATTTTCTAAAGACAGAGACACATGCACACAGTTCTGTCTATAAATGAACGACTCCGAACTGTCTTTCATCCATCTCATTATTTCAGATTGAGAGAAGAAAGATCACGGTGAAGTAACCTCAACGATATGCCTCTTAAAACACATTAGAAAAACTATTACTAATTAGTACTCATGTAAATAAACCCCAGCATACCTAATATCTGTTAACGTTTCATGTTTTTCGAAGTTCTTTTACGCGAATATTTTTTTATATGATGACCAAGATTTTCATCACAAGAGTCGAACACATTCTTTTGTGTTGGGCGGGAATATCATGACGCCTCGACCAACTTAGTCGCTAGAACTTTAAAAATAAATGACGCCCCAGATATTTCCCTTATTATAACAGGACTGAAGTGCCTGTTAGTTATTAAAACCTTTTACGTAAAAAAGGCGGCGACCCAAACTCGATTATAAATTCTTTTAACATGTTACATATGGTGTACCCAAACCCTTCAACTTTGAAAATGTTAGTACAGTACAGGTATTGTACTGGAAAATTTCTAGGTATTTTCATGTATCTGCTGAAGGTACTGGACTGATGGCGATAGCTATATACTGACTGCTCTCTCCGTCGTTTGTTCACGCAGATTATAATCATCATCACACAAACTTTTTTCTTTCAAATTTGATGTGTGGGTAGCTTGACGCAAGGCTTATCTTCGGTGTAATATCATGAGCCAGTAAGTTTGCACCAACAGGGAGGCTCGTGGTGAAGCAAGTACCAACCAATCTAGCCTTCATTTGTTACACCCTGAGCACGTACAGTTTATTTGTTATACAAAAATTAAATCTTGCAAATACAAAAACTGAAAAAATATAATTTTTCCTGTTATTCCTGTTACTTTTTTCCACGTCATCACACTAAAATACAGTGAATCAAATCTATCCCATTATTTCTGCAAGACATTAAAAATAAAAGGAAATTTAAAGATTTTGTAGTTACGTAATATTTCACTGGTTCTGCCATAATTTACCAATTTTCAGTATTATTCTTTGGCAGGTCTTCTGAGCTGCCGACTGTAACCCAGGTGTGTGCATCATCAGTGCAGATAAAATAATTGAACTTTTCTGCCACAGGTGTTCCCTGACCTGACTGTCGCCATCGGACTTGAAAATGCGATCATGGTTTTCGGTTCCTTTGAAATCTTGCTGGCTCTGTTGGCCTTCCTCTTCCTGCCTGAGACCAGGGGGCGCACACTAGAGGATCTGCAGCACGCCTTTGTCGGTAGTCCTGTCCTCACGCCCTTCTCCCACGCCGGGCGCGATGGATACACACCGGCTTACGGCAGCACCTTCCCTTCAACCTCCCAGGGCCTGGAAAAGGTCCGCTAGTGCCCTGGCCTAACCCTGGTTATCTATAGGTACCGTCTGTTGGCTTCCTGCCTCTATAAAAGCAAATTCTTCACTACTATTCACATCAGAGACTGAAGTTCTGATAAGCCGCCCTACACAAGACGATCTTTTGTGTCATTTATATTTTTGTCTCGTGATATAAGGTATCGTCGGTCGTCAAGGACTGTAGCTGAATGAATGCATTCTTAATCTGGCGCTTGGAATAATAGTGTGGATATAAACTTTTAATTAATTTGTAGAAAACAGATTTACATTTATACGTATAAAAACTTGTTTGTTCATATTTCTAAATTTTTCGTTTACATTATTTTGTATTTATTTTTTATTGTTATAGTGTTTCCCATGAGCTGTATGAGCTGACTCTGGTCAAGAAATACAGTTGTTAATACATGTATGATTGCTGACATTAAGAAAATTATATATCAATAATAACACTTGGCACCAAATTAAATAACAAGCAAAATCCGTAACATGGTTCAGAGCAGCTTCCTATCGGTAATTTTGAGGTGCTGATTTAAAATCTGGCAAAAAAATTATCTGGCACGTAGAGTTTATTTGTTATACAAAAAATAAATCTTACAACTACAAAAAACTGAAAAAATACTTTTTTTCTTGTTATCTCTGTTACTTTTTTCCACATCATCACACTAAAATTCAATAAAGAATGAAATAAATCATAAGAAGACACAAAAAGTAATAAATTAGCCACTGTATGGGCATTTGTTATTTTATTTCATCCTTTTATGTGTTGTATTGTCCTCCGATTGTAAACACCAGCAATAGTCCCCCATCATGGCAGGATCCCATCTACCCTGGTACCTTTCCCCCATACGTCTAATGTCCTGATGAAATCGCTCTCCCTGTTCATCACTAACCGACCCCGGATTCTCAGGAAAAAAGTCAAAGTGCGAGTGTAGGAGGTGGACTTTCAGGGACATCCTGCATCCTAAGTTTTTGTAGTGTTTTAAGAATTTCTCTACAAGTTGGGAATAGTTTTGTTCTTTCTTGTTCCCAAGAAACCCCTTGACTACAGATGTGAAGGATTTCCATGCAGCTAACTCATTTTCATTCAGGTTGTTTTCAAAGTCGTCATCACGAAGTAACTTTCTTATCTGTGGGCCAACAAAGATACCCTCTTTGACTTTTGCATCACTGAGCTGTGGGAATTTTCCCCTCAAGTACACGAACCCATCACCTTGTTTGTCCATAGCCTTCACAAAATTCTTCATTAGTCCCAGCTTGATGTGTAAAGGAGGTAGAAGTACATCGTTTGGGTCTACCAAGGGAGTATATTTAACGTTGCTTTTTCCTGGCACAAACTTTTCTCTCTTTGGCCAGTCCTTTGTGTTGTAGTGTTTTTCTGTTGCTCTGCTGTCCCATAAATACAGAAAACAGCAATATTTCGTGAACCCTCCTTGAAGGCCGAGTAGAAGGGCTATAACCTTCAAGTCGCCGCAGATCTGCTACCTATACTACTTGTATTTAATAGCGGTCAGTAATTTCTCCAAACTATCATTCGTTTCCTTCAAACCTACAGAATGCGCTACTGGAACTGAGGACTTCTGGTTCCCATTATGCAACAATACTGTTTTCAGACTAAACTTGGAGGAATCTATGAACATCCGCCATTCCTTTGGGTCATGTTTTTCTCCCAACCCTGACATCAGTCCATCTACATCACTACACACACAGAGGGAATCCTGCATATTGTAGAATGGGGTTAGCGACAGCATTTCCTCCCACTTGCTGTTCGGTATTGCTAACCTTGCATTTAATATAACCCTACCAACACAAGTACGTATCTTACATTCCTACACTACATATACACATATATCATAAAAATGTTACGTGACTGACATTTTTTATTGCCATATTTGAAATCAACATCCCAAAATTAATAAAGTGCAGCGTATGTGATCCATGTTACCGAACCCTTGTCAACTAGTGTAAATAAAGTATTACTTCACTAAGTGAAAATCTGATCAATAGTACTAATAGACTGAAAATAAATTTTGATTTGGCTGACAAAAAATAACGACAGTTTAATATAAAACCACTGTTTCTTTCCTGAGTAAGCAATACATACACACATTATCTACAACTGGAGCATTTATGTGGCGGATCTGAAATAAATAGACGTTGTAATTTTGGCAGTGTCTGATAGGATGATGGGTATGTCAAGTGTTATTGGTAAAAAAAAAAAAACATTACAAGTTAAAAACCTTAAGTTTTTTTTTTTTTTAAGATGGCAGAGGCAGAGATACTCACTCAAAGAAGGAAGCTGCTCTTCCCGTAATGAAGTAGGTAGATAGACAGTAAACAAAAGATTGGCATAGTTAACTTCAGAACTTGAAGTTGCTATCAATAGTAACAGAACATTCGAGTACATTTATGACCTCTTGTAAGCCGAGAAGAAAAAGTAAAAACTCACTTAAACATTAAGGTCACTTGAAGACATTTCCAACAGATAACATAAAGTGAAAGTTATCAAAGACATTAGAGTGTGTCCAAACCATAAAGTCAAACTGAAACTGATGTGGTCATTTAAGCCAAAAATAGAACTAAATTGTACCTCATAAGAACAGAAGACAAAAGAAGCTTCAGTTAACGAGCGGCTCAGAAATGAAAAATAAAAGAAAATCTTAAGAAACAGACTATACATGTTTATATTTTCCTGGTTTCATTGGCAACAGGAGGACACAGAGCAGCTCACGATACAATAAACAGATCCCCACATTAGTTTCCCAAGCGTCTGGTACCCATAGCGTAGAGTCGTAGCATTATATTATACGTATATAAGACACAGGAGCCACAAGGGGATGATAGCAAAACTACACTTTATTGAACTTTCCCTAAACACTACTGCTAGTTTCTGGTATATTCGTTGGGCTCGTAGCCTTATGCATAATACTAGCGTCAGTTCATCTGTAATGAGTCTCAAGTTTGTTATCATAATATATTGTTCTCTGCTTTAACCGGTGCACAAGTATAGTTGTCTTCCCTTTTTTTTCTGTTTTATTAAAGATAGATAGATAGAAGAGATAGATAGATACCTAGATAGACAGATAGATACCTAGATAGACAGATAGATACCTAGATAGACAGATAGATACCTAGATAGACAGATATTTATTCAGTAAAATCGTCATATACGTTCATAATTAGATCTACATGTAAATAGACAATGCAGGTATATACAGTAGTTCAGTATACAGTACATATAGACAATGCGAAATATAAAATTTCCAGTTACAGGTATACACATAATGGTAAACAGTAAGGCAATTCCACCAAGGAAAGTCAACAAAGCCATCAGGTGCTTATTTCCTGGAGGGTTCTTTGCTTAGGCTTGGTTAATAATTAGTAATAGCAAATATAAAATAATGAAATTGTAATTTGTTGAAAACTATAACAAGCAATTACAATGTGCTTATACCATTCGCTTTAGCAATACAACATTCTATGGTTAATAATTTAGAAAACCACTCTTTTCTTGCTGTGGCTTCATCGGCTATGTATGCTTTAGTTTTAGCTTTGGACTGCTTGATATGATCAGGCAAATTGTTCCAATCCTTTATAGCTGTAAAGAAAGTCTATTTTGTTTGACCGCGGTTAATGAATTTCTTTATACATGTAACTTATAAATGTAACCCCAGCCTGACTTTTTTTTCTTTGACAAGTGTGTACTAAATAAACATTCTTTTTCAACGGAACGTTTTATTAACCTGCCAACAAAAAATACACTTTTTTCTATAATTGACATTAATGAAAGTAGTTATACTCCCGATTGCTTATAAAGAACATTGGCAAAGTATAAAATCATGCAGACTGACTTCAAAGTATGAATCCGAGAGTCAAAAGATCTTAAGTCGTTCTTTTGAACACCTGGTGTTTAGACATGACCCTTTTCAAGTGAGACCACCGGGGACGACTGCCTGTATACTTGGGCCAAAAACGAAAATCTGGAAGAAAGTAAAGAGGGACATATCAAGTATCCACTACTTTAGAACATAGACCATTGGACCTAAGTCACAGAAGAACGACATGAATAAAGAACTCACGTATGCCATTTTCCAGTCGCTGGGGCCCTTTTGCTCCCCCATGCCCCTGCAGAACAGGATTTTAAGGGGCTCAGCAAGCGCATTGCACAAGTCCCTAAGCGCTCTGGGATGCACACACAGGGCCAGCGGGGCTCTTATAAACCTTAAGCTTTGACAATTTGTTTGTAATACACATTAATCTGGGAACACAATATGCGTCAGTGCTGTGTCAAACCGTCTTTCTTTAAACGCAGGGAGATTGCTCGCATCCTCTCTTGGGAGCATGGAGGAAAATAATTTGTTGAACGCCTCTGCCTTGTCCAGATCGGAGTCTGCGCAACTACCTTCTTCAAGTCTCAGTATTGATAATTATGTCTACGTGTGTTTTTAATTTCGATTTTGCGTATCAGTTTGGTCCCGGAAATATATTAAATACTAACTGCCCTTATAGTTTATACTATAGACGGGCAAGGGGTGATTTAATTTAAATTTATAAGTACAACGAAGAAAATTACTCGGCCACGAGTTCAAAATCTGAAGCTAGCGGATGCCCTCCCAACAAGAGGTGAGTGTTTTAAGTTAAAGAAGCCACTCGTACAGAAAACTGTCAATGCGAACTTCTTTAGAGTAAAGGTTGTGAACTCTTGGAATGACCTGCCAGAACGTACTGTGACGGCACATAGTGTAAGCTCATTTAAGGACGGATTCGACCAACACTGACGTTTGTTCTGGTACATTATGGAACCAGTGCATATCCAGTATTTGCCGACGGTGCAAAACGGCTAACAGGCCGATCAGCGGTGAAGTAATGTGTGGTGATATATGGCACTAAATCGTCGTGTGTACCTGTGACAAGTGGTGTGCCATACGGCAGTGTGCTGGGACCGATGTTGTTTATTTGCTTCATAAATGAAATGCCAGATGCTAATCATTCCTCCGTACAAATGGCTGCGGACGACGCTAAGCTATTCAAGGAAATTAAGAACCAAACGGAATGTGAAGAGTGATAGGGAAATCTCTGTTGGCTTCAAGGGTGGTCAAAGGAAAGGCTGCTGAGATTCAACGTTACGAAATGCAAGAAGTTGCATCGAGGGTCCTAGACTCTTATAATAGGTCGTACCAGTATTAAGGAGGTGTATCATATCATTGTCCCAACCTCATGAAGAAACATCATTCACTGACACCAATCTGTGAAAAAGTCTGGGTGTGTATATTGACAACGAACTGATTGTTATCGGAACCATTGTGAGAAGAAGGTATGTGGGACAGACCATCTAGATATGACTACGATCTTCGTAAAAGTTATATGGCGATCGTACTCATGCCTAAATGATCTGTTCCACATATAAGGGCCTGTACTTAGCTGCAGCATTTTACATAGAACAGACAGTCCAGCCGGCTAGTGAGCTGACAAGTGCCGAATAGATTCAATATATAAATCTAACTGAAGTTTCTTATCAAAGTTTTATCTTTTCGCTGTGGAAACAAAAAAATAATGCAAATATACTGATTTACTTATCAAATTTTACCCGTAAGACCCTTTACTTGGCGCTCATACAATATCGCTTGGACTATTCCTGCTCGTCGTGGTACTCTGCCCAATCACATCTCGATCGCAAGCAATGTCTGGTGATTAATGTCATGAAATCATCATGTGAACCTGTGGAAAGCGGGGTACCACAGGGTTGTGTATTGGACCCGTCGTTGTTTGTTTATTTCATAAATGACATGCCAGAAGCGATACACTCATCCATGCAAATGTTTGCGGAGGATGCCAATTAATTCAGGGTAATTAAGAACCAAACCGACTGTGAAGAGCTACAGAAAGATCTCTTTGAGCCTCAAGAATGGTCGAAGAAATGGCTGCTAAGATTCAATGTCACGAAGTGTAAGAGGATGCACCTGGGACGTACCAACGCTGTGGCAAAGCTTCCGTCACGACTCCCGTCCTGTCCCACAGGTTAGAGGCTTGGTTCTGTAGCTGGACCCGGTCGCCTGGCGTCAGAGGTACCAACCTCCTGCCGGTACCCTGACGAAGAATAGACTGCTGCTTGCTGGCCAACTGAAACTCTCTGTTGCGGAGGGTCTGATGCCAGTGCCTGTCCACCTTGTAGTGCCGTCTAGTCAAAGGGACCCCATCACGTATCTGCCTCCCTGTGATCAATTGAGCTGGGGACTTGTTCGTTCCGTGAAGTGGGGTGTTTAAATACTGTAGGATGGCCATGGATGCCTTGTCGGTGTCGAGGCTCCCTCCCCCACCACTGTTGGCCCTGATGTCCCTATTGACAGTTTTGACAGCCGCTTTCGCTCTGCCATTGGACTGGGGGTTCTGGGAGGACAGACGTACTGACACACCCCATCGTCTGAAGAAGCTGGTCATCTCTTCACTCACAAGATTAGTGCCTCCATCAGTGGAGACCTGTCCAGGGGCCCCCCACCTGGTGAAGAAGTTCCTGAGCTGGGACGTAATCCTGGCGGAAGTGATACCGTTGGGGAAGTGGGCCACCTCTAACCAACCAGTTAACCTTTCAGCATAGGCCATGTACAGTAGCTAAAACAGCTATCTGTGTAGGTGGGGGTCGATATGCTCCGAAACTTTACGTGTGACTATTGACAGCCCTCATATACCAAAATTTATCGCCCCTGGTCTCATATTATTTCCCACAAAGTATGCACAGATAGTTGTTTTAGCTACTGTACATGTGCCCCTCAAGCTGAAACATGTTGATCACCGTTTGCTGGAAGAGATAATCCAGGGGTGGTGTGAGAACCAGGGCTTCAGGCGATGGGGCACGTGTATTACAGGAAGAACATGAAGACCTGTGGAACTGAAGGTCGCCTTCTAAGCCGGGCTAGTAAACTGACTGTCTGACCCTCCGCAGCATGGAGTCCAATCCTTGGTGGCTAGCATGTACGTTGGCTGCTACCTGGTGGCGTAGGCCTTCTGGGATGACCAGGCAGACACTGCCCAAATCAAAGGTGTAGGTGAGCAGGCCCTGGGCTACAGCCAGCCTCTCCCTGATGTTGTAGAATGGCCGGAGGCAGGCAATTGCTTGAGACTTGTGAGGGTGCCAGTCGTCAGATAGGACCCTGGCCACCACCAGCTCATAAATTGGGTCGAGGCCTTCCATGTCTAATGCAGCGACGGCAGCGCATGCCATGGCCACCATCATGTCCTCGTCGTGGTCAGCGTCGAGGGTGTCAGGGGATATCTGGAGGACGGGGTAGCGCGACAGGAAGTCGGCAGCAAAGTTTCCCTTCCCGGGCAGTTGCTTAAATTGAAAGTTATATTGTAGGGTCTTTTCATTGAGCCAAAAGAGCCTGGGGTTGACAATATCTGCAAGTGCCCTGTCCCCGAGAAGCTTAACGAGAGGACGGTGGTCGGTGACGAGGATGAGGTTGGGGTAGTGGGGCACCCCAGCAGGAACAACCGGGCCTTTTGAAGGCACCATACAACTGCCAGTGCCTCCCTTTCCACAGCAGCGTAGACTGCCTCAGCGGGGGTAAGGTGGCGGCTGCCACAAAGAGCGAGGCGCCACCCACTTTTGCAACAGAATGGCGTGTCGGCGAAGGACTAGGTACAGGGTTGCTGGAGGATGACGAAACCGATTCCTTCCTTGCTCCAGTCGGTGACGGCGGCCATGAGTCTGGTCTTGTCATAATAAACTAGACCATCTCTGACCAGCTGGCAGATGGTGTCCTGAGCCTGACGGAACTTGGCCTGCAGCTGGTCTTCCCAGTAAACCTTTTTCCAAGAGGGCTTCTTGAGGAACTCCCTGAAGAGTTCCATGGTGGGGACTGTGGCAAGAAACAGGGCCAGCTTGTTAATAAACCTCACACAGTACTATAGTATTGTTACGAACCCCTCTTTCGCCGTTTCCCAGCTTCCATCACTGGTTACTAACGGCCACGTCGTATATATAGAAGCAGTAGATACTGTATATCAAAGTGTAGTTGAATTACAACTAGCTGCCCCGCCAGTCTCCGGTAATTTCCCGACGGTCAGTATCAGAGTCCAGAAAAACAACAGGTAGGTAGATTTCCACCAGGTCACAGAAACACACTTGTGAACTGTAGTATTCTTTAATAATCACTAGATCTTCACAAAACTGTTCACAGGGTATGTCTTCACAACTGGGCTTCTCACAGAATATATACAGTCAACACACTACCAGTGTACAATTTCTTAGTCTTTTCACTTTATATCGCTCACAACAATTCCACAATACTTGAACAACAACAATTATACTTCACACTCTGTACATAAACGATCGACTGACCACCCTAGGTAGCTAGCTGGCATTTATATACATCTCAGGTGCTCAGAACACCCTCGCACCATCCAGGCATTACAGGTTGGAACGAGATACTCCCTGAAGACTCTAGAATAATCTAAGCTTAATTCAGATACATTCAGGAGCTAGTGTATGCCCAGTACTTACCAACAGTCGGGGTATCACAGGGCAGTGTATTGGGCCTGCTGTTGTTTGTTTGCTTCATAAATGACATGCCTGACGCTGTATAATCCTCCATACAAATGTTTGCGGATGACGCAAAGTTATTTCGGGAAATTAAGAACCAAGCAGACTGTGGAGAGCTGCAGAAGGACCTCTATGAGCTTCAAAAGCGGTAGAAGAAATGACTGCTAAGATTCAATGTCACGAAGTGTAAAAGACTGCACCTGAGACATACCAACGGTAAGGAAACGTATCATATGTCCCAACGGGAAGAAAAACTGCATTAATTGAGACTGAATGTGAAAAGGACCTACTGTAGGTGTGTATGTTGACAATGAGATGAAGTTTTCGGGCCATTGCGAGAAGGTGAACCAGGCAACTAAATTATTAGGTCTTCAAGGGTGAAGTGCTTCCCCATCTGGAGTACTGTCACACCGTCTGGTCCCCGAGATATGCTAGGGACTGTCAGTTGATTGAAAATGTCCAAAGGAGGGCCACCAGACTGGTGCCTGCACTATGGCACCTCAGCTACCCTAAGAGATTAGAGCCTGAAATTGCCTAGCTTATACTACAGAAGGGCAAGAGGGGACCTGATTGAAGTGTATAACATCTCAAAAGGCACTACTCAGTCGAGTGCCCTTACCTGGAGCTGGCGGACGCTCGCCCCACAAGGGGTCACAGCTCAAGGTTGAAGCCGCAAGTCCAGAAATGTGTGAGGGGCAACTTTTTCGGAGTGAGAGTTATGAACTCTTGGAACAATCTGCCAGAGTGTTATGACGGCACCGAGTGTGAGCTCTTTCAAGACCAGACTCGACAAAGACTGGAGCAGGTTCAGATACATTCAGAAGCCAATGCATGCCCAGTACTTGCCAACGGTGTGTAACAGAGATGTGACCGACCGCCCAAGCGTTTAATGAGCCTATCAGCGGTACAGAACGCGAACCTGCACTTTGAATATCATAACTAATTAAAATGACCCATTTGATCGATAAATATATACCCAAGACCAAACCCAGTGCTTCTAGGAATACGAGGGGATCCCTACACATGAACCATGCGGCGGTCGACAAAATTAAGAAGAACACCCAGAAATTCAAGACGTGGGTTGGGTCAAACGATAAGCAAGACTGGAGGATGTATGCAAGAGCCAGAAACCAAGCAAAGATAGAGTGTAGGAGGGCTGAAAAGGAGTTCCAGAGGCTGGTTGCACGCGAGGTCAAGTCAAACCAAAAGGCGTTTTACCGCTATGCAAAGTCGAAATTGAAAACGCAGTGAGAGTATCAGACCTGAGGCTTGAAGATGGTAGTTACGCAGATTCTGACCAGGATAAAGCTGAGGCATTAAACAGCTTCTTTTCCTCAGTGTTCACAGAGGATGCAACTAACCTTCCTGCGTTTGAGGACAGACGGTTCGACACAGCACTGACCCACATTGTGCAGAAGAGGGTATTAGAAATAAACTGTTCAGGCTAAAGGTCCATAAAGTCCTGGACCTGACATGGTGCATCCTAGGTGCTAGGGAGCTGTGCAACGAGCTTGCAGAGCCCCTGAAGATTCTGTTTTGTAAATGCCTGGATGAACAAATGGTCCAGTGAATGAAAGTGGCTTATGTGAGTCCTATCTTCAAGAAGAGACGTAGGCACTCCACGAACAACTATAGACCGGTGAGCCTGACCAGCATAATATGTAAAAATACTTGAGAGTATTATCAGAGATGCAGCGATGGAACATCTACGAACTGTAAAAGATTGCCAACACGGTTTTATGCCGGGCGCTCTTGTGACTTGCTCAAGGTATTGATATTTGGACCCATATTCTAGAACGGGGTGGTAATATCGACAATATTTACCTGTAACAAGTGGGGTACCGCAGGGTAGTGTATTGGGCCCGCTGTTGTTTGTTTGTTTCATAAATGATATGCCTGACGTTGTACACTCCTCCATACAAATGTTTGCCGATGACGCCAAGTTATTTCGGGAAATTAAGAACCAAGCGGACTGTGAAGAGCTGCAGAAGGACCTCTGTGGGCTCCAGGAATGGTCGAAGGAATGGCTGCTGAGATTCAATGTCACGAAGTGTAAGAGGATGCACCTGGGGCGTACCAACGGTAAGGAGGCGTACCATATGTCCCAACGGGATGAAGAAAATGTACTAGTTGAGACTGTGTGTGAGAAGGACCTAGGTGTGTATGTTGACAATGAGCTGAAGTTCTCGGGCCATTGTGAGAAGAAGGTAAATCAGGCAAATAAATTATTGGGTCTTATAAGAAGGTCGTTCAGATATCTAGACGGTCCGTCCCTCGTGACGATCTTCAGGAGTGAAGTGCTTCCCCATCTGGAGTACTGTCACCCCATCTGGTCCCCGAGATATGCTAGGGACTGTCAGTTGGTTGAAAATGTTCAAAGGAGGGCCACCAAGCTGGTGCCTGCACTTCGGCATCTCAGCTACCCTGCGAGATTGGAGCGCCTGAACTTGCCTAGCTTATACTACAGACGGGCAAGGGGGGACCTAGTTGAGGTTTATAGGCATCTCAGGGGGCACTACTCAGTTGAGTGTCCTTACTTGGAGCTGGCGGACGCTCGCCCCACAAGGGGTCACAGCTCAAGATTGAAGAAGCCGCAAGTCCGGAAAACCGTGAGGGCAAACTTTTTCGGAGTGAGGGTTGTAAACTCTTGGAACAATCTACCAGAAGTGTTGTGACGGCACCGAGTGTGAGCTCTTTCAAGAGAAGACTTGACCAACACTGGAGCGGGTTCAGGTACATTCAGGAGCCGGTGCATGCCCAGTATTTGCCAACAGTGTGCGTGACAGAGACGTGACCGATCGCCCGGGCGGCTAGCGAGCCGACCTTTTGGTGAAGAATATAAAGGAAAAGAGTCGTGACCGATCGCCCAAGCGGCTAACAAGCCGATCAGTGGCGAAGAGGATAAAAGTAAAGCAAAAATAAAAGTCAAAGATATCGCTCTTATTTTGTCCTGAGTTCAATCCCTGGTCCGGGACAGATGTGAGAAGGGAGTTTTCCATGGACCCTACCATTTCACAAAACATTTCTTTAGGGTACTCCGGTTTCCTTCTGTACTAACACTGGAAAATATAAGTCATAAACTAAGAAAGAACAGATTGACCGTTACAATGACTAAACAAAAAGATAGATAAAAATCCTCTCATTAGTTTATTTTGTTTTCGCATTTCTATAAGGCTGATCATTTGTTTACATATCGTCAAGGTGACAGTCAACACACTACAGTGCAGCTGATGGGTGTGGCATATCTATAAAACACTAACTCCAGCATGTGGGAGTAATGTCATGTCATAATGATGGGCCATGAGTAAAAGTGGAAAAAATTAGCTAAGTTTAAGGTTGTCACATGATTTTTATTTTTTTTTTGGCCATCGCGAGAAACTGTTGCACCATACAGCCACGTTAAGGAGTCTACAGTCATAATTATAAAATTTTTGCTAAGGTAAGTCGTCTTAATCATGAGGATTTAATAATTAGGTGATTATTTTCTTTTAAGTCGCTGATTTTTCATAGAAAACGAATTTAAAACCCCGCAATTTCACCGCTTTATATAAAGTGGACACTCGTAGTTATGGCAAATGTGTTCGTGTTTATTTAAAAGTTAAAGTTAAGCTAACCTAACCTTACTTTTAACATTAACCTAACTTAACCTTAAACTAATCTAAGCTAACAACCCTAACCTAACATAACATAATTTAACACCTGCCATGGGCGAGCTTATTGATACCGAGACTGGGGGAAATGGCTGTGAATTCCTCCATATTAGCCAGTAATTATTGATAAAGATATGGGATAATCGTGTATTAACAGGTGTAAAGTCATGTGGGTAATTATTGATGACTGACCTACCAGCGATTTTACATAATAAACGATTATAAAAACGCCAAAATTTCAGTGTGTTTTGTAGAGGACTGTCGTAGTTTGTGCAATTTTTTTTAACCTAACCTGTCCGTACTTGAGCTTCACCTAAACTTTTTTTTTATATGATTTCCTTGTAATATTCCTCCCCATCATTCAAAGATCATATGTAGCTAATTGCTCTCTGCAGTCATGCAGTGATCCCACCAAAACATTCTGTAAACAGCATGAATAGAGGGGTCCGACTAATTACCCAAATGTTCCCAAATATAGCCGGAAGGAAGTCAAATAATGGTCCTAGATAAATAAATCGGACTGCCAATCACTTCTCGACTAGTATTTGGTGTCACAAAGTCACAAAAAATTGGTAAACTTAATTTAATCTGAGTTAATAGATCGAGTGCATGTACCTAACCTAACACAACTCAGATTAAATTAAGTTTACCAATTTTTTGTGACTTTATGACACCAAATAATAATCGAGAAGTGATTCACAGCCTGATTTACGCTTGTAGGACCATCGTTTTACTTCATTGCGACTACATTTGGGTAATTACTCGCTCCCTCGGTACATGCATGCTATCTATTAACTCAGATTAAAGTAAGTTTTCCAATTTTTTTTTACTTTGTGACACCAAATACTAGTCGAGAAGTGATTGGCAGTCCGATTTATTCATGTAGGCCCATTACTTGACTTAATTGCAGCTACATTTGGGTACATTTGGGTAATTAGTCGGACCGTGAATAGAGAGGTAATGGGTATTACAGTATTATCGTTTTGGTTATCCAGTGAATTTTAGACTTTTAAGCTGCCATCGTCTGAGAGAGGTTTAGGTTAAGTTAGGTTAGGTTGAAATTATGTTTTTCTGGTTGTTTTTGATGTGTTGTGAATGAATTTGAACTTAATATCTGGTGCAAATCAGTAGTTTCTGAGATGAGCCCCCCTCTCATCTCAGAATCTAGAGATTTGCTATAAAAATCAAGGTAAAAAGTGTTCAAAACACATCAAAACCCATTGGAAAACAGTTTTGACTCTCACCTAACCGGGGGGCTTCACAGTCACTCGATATTCTGGGTGTGTACCGCTGGATACACACCATTTCGTCACCAAAACCCCATTTCGTCACCAATATCAAATCTATTTCACCACTAACAGTCGCTGATATTAGTGACAAATTGTAAGTTATTACTTTACACGAATAGAAATTATACATGTATACAGACGACTCGAGCAGTATTGTGTTATTATTATACATGAATATTAATTATTTAATAAAGAAAACGATTAAAACATTGGTAAATAAACAAATACAGAACAAATGAAGGTGATTTGGCACCAGTGCATAAACCACCAAGCAGCAAAGAACAATCTACACTCTACCCTCTTCTTCACAGAGAAGCCTCAATGGTTGATTTGCAATTACAACTAGATGCTGAGCACAAGCTAAAATCATGCACAAGAAAAGCAAATCATGACAAACAAGTCCATATATGGAAGCTGTGGGATGAATATGAAGAAAAAATATCACCACTTCTAATTTCCTAAGAAAATTGTCATTGTCTTCTGCCAAGCTTACATGAGTAAATTTTGGTCTTTCACATATTATTTAAGAGATGATTGCAGGTATATTATTTTTTTTCTTCGTTTTAGTCTATCATGAATTGTTTAAGTGAGATGCTTGTGTAGCGTAGTGGATGTGGTCAGTATTCAAAGTTCTCTTTCTTGGGTATCAATTTTCTCTTTCTTAGGCTTACATTCACATATACTGTACATAAAGGAGATCACATACTCAGGATGGAGGTGAGAAAGGAAACTCGCAATAATGTTCTCTTTACATATATTGTGTGTACAGTGCAGTAAGATGCAGGGGAGTTGCTGTGTTGTAGAACAGCTTGTTGAGAGGAGGTCTTGCTGGTTTGAGAGCTCGTGAGTAGAATGACCTTCAAAGCGAGGTCCAGAGATGCAAAATGAAAGGCGCCGCTGATTGGCTGAGGTGAGGGTGATAGCTGGCCAATCTGCGAGCAACTCGGGGGCAGAAACTGTGGTCTGGAACTCGCTGTGATTGGCTAAGGAAAGGACGGCAAGTGGCCAATCAGCGAGCAGTTCAGGAGCGGGGGCTGTGGTATGGAACTCGCTGCTGATTGACTGAGGCGAAGACGGGAGATCAGTTGTAGGGAAGAGTGTCCACTACACTTGCACGAGTAATAACGTTTTTATTTTCTTATTTTCGTCTTTAATAATTTGTCTTAGTGAGATGCTTGCATGATCCAATGTATTGTTATGCCGAGGCATAATTTCGTAATACAATTTTGTAAACTAAGTTTTTTGATTAAACATTGATAGATATTACCGGGCCACATAGCCTGTTGCGTCTTTCACATACAGTATTGTTTAAGTTAGATGATTGCAGACATATTAACAATGTTTTTATTTATTTTTTTTAATTTTAGTCTTTCACATACAGTACTGTGTTTTTGATTATTTTCTATCCCAAGCAACAGCTAATTTCGTGTATATAATGATTATTGTTTAAGTGAAATGATTGCAGGCGTATTAACAATGTTTTTATTTTATATTTCCGTCTTAAATAAATTGTCTTAGTGTTTTTTTATTATTTTCTCTCCCAAGCAACAGTTATTTTCGTGTACCCGTATGTATTGATGGGAATGAACGCGGTGATGAAACGGGTTGAAAACAGTGTTGATGAAATGGGCATACCCCGTACCGCTACGTCGTTCAATGTTCTGGGTGTGTGCCGCCACGTACGAACATACGGTACATAATAAAATGTTAAATATCTCGCTTAAACGTAATTTGTGCCAGAAATGCCATTGAAGAAAAGTGTCTTAGAATTGTCAAAATTACCAATTGCCACTATGGTCGTATACAATCCCCGGGATACGTTTAGTGGCAATAAGTGAAATACCGCATTTATGATGTCTTCCTTTACAAAGTAGAAGAGAAGGTAAAGTGAAATTAGGTTGGATATGATAAATTTGTTTTGTATGTTTTAATGTTAAGTCAGAGTTTGTTCCCAAATGCTAGAGCTTTGCCAAGTTAGATTAGGTCTATTATTATTTTCTGTCATGATCTTTTGTGACATGTATATTAATTGAAGCTCATAGTTTCTTTCTACAGGGAGTGTAAATCATGGCGATTGACTGCAAAATTACGGTAGAACCTGTGCTGTTCTTGTACATGTTGTCAGTGTTTATGCTATACCCAGCCCTGCAGGATCTCATTTACACCAAGGTAACGACTGCTGTTGGAGGCCCTCAATGGAAAAGAGGTTCAGTTCCATAGGGTCTTTTTCTTTAATGAATCAGTCTTTATCAAAGTTAACTTCTTAGGTATATATCTTTAGGAAAAATTACATTACCGGTATTTTCTTATCTTCTATACCACTTGTCAGCTTACTCGCTGTCTGTACAAATGGTCTGTTCTTTGTTGACTTAAAAGATTTTACACATGGTGTTGTCACATCTCTTACTTCAAAGAAATTAGCGCTGACAATTTTGTGTACTGTTAACAGACGTATAGTGCTGTGAGAATGCATGGGAACCACCGTGTTCCCTTACTTATTTTGGTAAGTACTGTAGAACGACGTTCCCTCACTATATCAAATAAATCCAAACTTACGAATTTCTAACGTCATGAAATTCTAATTCCCACCCCAAGAGGAAACATTTGAAAGAATTATTCTCTATCTTTTCTTTTAGCTTCAACTGAGGCAATGCTTGCCTATATTATAGGTATGATTATGCACGTACCTTATTTGTTGTCCACAAAAATATCAGTTTGTAAACAAGTTGAAAAGGGCTGGGAACAAATCTCTGATCTAAACATTCACCATCTAATTAAGATACAAACCTACTGTTGTGTTGCCTACTCCATCCATATGCTGCTGTGTGTAGTGTAAGACGTGTTAGCCGATTGAATGGCCTACATCTGGTGAAACAGTCATCAATGAGCACCAGCTGTTAACTTTCTTTTTAATTAATCATTCCAGTTGTTAGCTATTATTACTGATCGTACTGGACGTTATACGTATATCTAATGTAATGACACTGGAAATATTACATCTTCAATTGTGGAATATATCCTAATATCCAGTTAATATGGCTTCAAAATATCCCTGAATTGGTCAGATTTCAAAAGATTTTCCTCGGGGCATACAGCCCCCCCCAGGACCCCTAGCTGTATGGGCTCGTTGCTTTCCCTCACTTCTTTATTTAGCACTACACCACTGACTGTTAGCATCTATAACTTGAGCCTGTGAACTCTTGTGTGACAGCCACCTGCTAACTTCAAATTTATACATTTAACTGGATGATACCTTTTAAAGCAATTATAACTTCTAATAAATCATATCTTGCCCTTCTATAGTATAAACTAGGTAACTGTGACCATTCTAATATCTCTTGGTGAGGTATCTGAATACTGGCACCAGTAGTAGTTTGATAGTGCTTTGGATGTTTGCAGTTAATAGCCTCTTAAAGCTCTTCATGATCAACTTTCACTTCAATAACCCCCAAGAGCAGTTTTCATATTACTCTTGCTTTGCTTTTTTCAAACTTATTTTTCTGTGGCTGGAAACTCTTATGAAACCACATCCTCTCAATTAAAATTATGGTCATACAGGCAACTCCCAGTTTGATCTCATTTTCTAATTTTTTTGTCTAAATTTACAAGTTATCCATGTCACACCATGCAAAATTTTACCAAGTAAGGAAAAGCATCAAGTGGGGCTGTGATGTAAATGTGTGGTAGAAAAGGCTTTCAGTCGGATAAAGGTAAGTGATTTTACTTTGTTCTCTAATTTCTAGCTTCCTTATGAACCGATCCATGGCAGTTGTTGTCGAGGGATCGACCTCTCGCTCTTTCTCTACCAATAGTGGTGTCCCACAGGGTTCTGTTCTTTCACCTACTCTCTTCCTTCTTTTTATCAATGATTTACTTCACGCTACGACAAATTGTATCCATTCTTATGCTGATGATTCTACTCTTCACATTTTTCCCTTCCCCCTAACTCTCAAACTAGATCTGTTTCTAGAGCTGATATCATTTCATCTATCAATGCAGATCTGTGCAGCATCTCCGAATGGGGAGGCAGAAACTTGGTTAAATTCAATATTAATAAAACTCAGTATTTACCAATTATGTTTTCCAAATTAGATGATCTCCCACCAATCACATTTCAGGACGCTATCATTCTGCCAAATTCTAAAATAGATATGCTAGGTCTCACTATTTCCTTTAATATGTCATGGAAGCTACACATCCTCAACATTGCTAAAGCTGCCTCCCAAAAGCGGGAATGCTGTCCAGATGCCGTAGCTACTTCACTCCTGAGCAGTTGCTTCAAGTTTATAAGGGATTCATTCGTCCTAACTTGGAGTACTGCTCTCATATCTGGGGTGGCTCTTCTTCTGTCCAACTGTTAGATAGTGTGGAATCAAAGGCATTTCCTCTTATTGACTCTCCTCCTTTAGTTGATAATCTCTCTTCCCTTTCTCTTCGCCACAATGTTGTTTCACTCTCTCTCTTTTACAGGTACTTTAACGGGCAATGTTCGGTGGATTTGGCATCCTGTGCACCGCCGGCAAGGCCATGGGCTCGTAACACTTGTCTTGCCTGCGGTGCCCACTGTTTCTCTGTGGATGTCGGTCACACTAGAATAACCCATTATAGTGCATCTTTCTTTCCTCACACAGCCAAACTGTGGAATGCTCTGCCTTCTTCTGTGTTTCCATACTAAAAAAAAATAATAAAAAAATAAAATAAAATAAAAAAATAAAAAAAATAAAATAAAATAAAATAAAAAATAACACTGGTGGTTCCATGGTATAGTGTACTGTATAAAGATCAACTAGTATATTACCTATACAGTACTAAGATTTTGCCCCTTGACATGATTTTGGTTGGCATTTTACACGTGTGTGTGTGTGTGTGTGTGTGTGATTTTAAGAATATTTAAATCGGTTAAATATTACAGGTTTGTCTAAAGGACTACAGCAAAAGGATATGTGATAATTTACATGACCCAGTAAACCATGTGGCTCTAGACACTGTCCAGACGGATTCCTCACATTGGGTACAAGGGTCTACCATCATGCTAGCAGTTCCATCCATTGTCACAGCTCAATTCCTAGGATCCTGGAGTGATACATATGGACGCAAAATTCCTATGCTTTTACCTCCAGTAGGTGAGTCTAAAACTGTTTTTTAATACAGTATTGTGAAACATTATCGTCACTGTTTTTGTCATAACCTACAGCTCATTCAGCTTTGTCCTTAGGGATATTTGTAAATTGTTGCATAAACATGTACTGGTACTTGTTCAAGTGAACTGGGGTGTTTAAAATAAGCTTCAAGCCCAGCCTGAGTGTACTGTACTGTACTCTGGAAAGTTTAAGATATCAGTAGGTACACCAGGAGTGCATTTACATGACTTTAACCCCTTAGTCATAAGCCTGGACTCTGAATTTTACTTCTCACAGGTCCATGCTTGTTAGCCTACTATCAACTTGTGTTATCCACTTCATGGAATTTGCAGGCTTATTGATTTATTTGCTGTGTTTCTTCATACTTTGGCTTTGTAACCTTCCGCCACACAGTGAATTGTATTTTGTTTATTTGTTCACTGTGCAAATGTCAATGTTTAATTTGATGATTAACTTAATGATTGCCTCTCAATTTACGGGAAGTGATAATTTATACCTGTAGTTGGCTCTGCCACCCTTTTTATGCATGAAGTAGATCATTTATCTGTATACTTACTGTATGCTTACTTTGTCCTAGAAAAGAATACTTATGGAATCATGCAGAAGGGTTTTTACCACAGTTGTCATTAGAGTCTTAAATAAATGTATACAGTAATACATTAACTCCCATACTTTACACTTATTTACCATTTATTTACATAGTTACGCTCTGTTTATCACAAGGGTTCCATTCCTGAAAACCCTGTGTGAAATTGCTATATGCAAAACTAATTTTCCCATAAGAAAAAATTTATTGTTACGAACCCCTTTTGCCGCTTACCAGCTTCCACTGCTGGTTACCAGCGGTCAGGTTGTATAGAGGTATACAGAAGCAGTAGATATATCACAAGTGTTGTCGAATTACAGTCATCTATTGGTTATCACGCCTAATTGGGACCGCGCTGAGTGCGTGATAATGAAAAATGCGATAACGAAAGTACAGAACCTATGGGATTTATTTTAATTGGTTCTAGGCACCCAAGACCCAACCCCAACTTTCCCATTTTACGACCATTTAGACCCACTAAAGATACAGTGGTCCCTCGGTTAACGAACACAATTCGTTCCAGAAGGTCGTTCGTTAACCGAATCCATTGTTTCAAAGGGATATTGGGTAAGTGGTTCCAGCTCAAAAGTACATAGGCTACAAAGTAAAAAAAAATGCAGTAAAGTACACTTACTTTGAGGTGTGTATGTAGAGGGCTCCTGGCTGATGATGATGATGGGAATTAGAAGTGGGGGTGGAGAAGGGAGAAAAGAAGGAAGTGGTATGGAGAAAAATCACCTTTCAGGGGACCCATGCTTCATGCCGTCATTTCACCAATAAAATTTTAAGTCACTAGGTGTAATTCAAGATTATTTTCTTTAAAACAACACTGTACAGTGGGGTATGCTATAACGAACGTAATTGGTTCCAGAACCTCGTTCGTTATAGCATTCGTTCGTTATAGGATTAATCCGTTCCAGGCCCCCAAATACAACCACCTAACACTGAAAAAATTCTGTGGAAAATGTAAAAAATACGGTACTTTATCTTACCTTAGTGTTATTCAGCATGCAGGTACCCCTAAACACTGGCACATCACTATCACTTCCACTGGGAGTCTTGGCTTTAAGGTCCTCAAACAATTGTCTGGCCTTCTCACAAATTATAGCTTCACTAATGTTACCACCTGCCATTTCTTTCTCCTTTATCCACACTAAGAGTAAATTTTCCATCTCTTCAATCACATTACACTTTGCTTTGCTAAGTCTAAAGATTCCCTTAGCCACTTGCACAGTTTTTAACTCCCCTTTATTCTTCAAAATCGTACATATAGTCGATTTAGCCATCCCATATTCATCACTAAGTTTCGCAATGCTTCTTCCATTCTCACGTTTCTTTATAATTTCTTTCTTAGTTTCAAGGGTTATTAGCTTTCTCACTCGCTTTGGACGACTCATTGTTACAATTGTATACTTGTATAACAAAATAGTTATACAAATAACGCGAATTTCCACATCAAAAGACGAAATTTCAACAATAACAGTGGTGCACTGGCTACACAATGAGACAAAGATGGCGCCTGACGCTCTTGTTGTGGGTCGCGGTACAACAATATTCATGCGCCAGGGGAAATAGTCCCGTATTCATCCGCGTTCGTTGTAGGAGTTGCGTTCGTTATAGCATTCTCAATTTTATAGGTAAAACCGTTCGTTATAGGAATATTCGTAGTAGGATCCGTTCGTTATAGCATACCCCACTGTACTGTGCTATATATTATCAATATGTTAACTAAAGTTCAGAATGACCAATAATTTCAATGGGAAATGAAAAAAAATATTCAAGACACCAACAAAATAGATGCTCTCTCCACTGTTTTAAAAGCCCAACTGACGCCTTGTAGCCGACTCACGCATCTAATGGGCTCACAACAAACTAGTTCCCTGTACTGCATATATTATCAATATGTTAAATAAATGTTAAAATTACTAAATATTTTAATATAAAACATTAAAAAATATTAAAAAGCTGAAATTTATTGATATTTAATCCATTGGAAACGAATTTAAACTTAGAACAGAGGACTGAATTGGCAGACTGGGCCATCAGCTGACCAGCTGATGCTCACAACAAAATGTGATTTTCATAAGGATTTCGTTAATCGAATTTTTGTTCGTTAACCGAATTGAGGATTCTTATGGAAGGTAATTCGTTAACCGAAATTTCGTTAACCGAGGCGTTCGTTAACCGAGGGAGCACTGTATAGATAATGTTATGGTAAATATCAGAAACACACACAGGCATGGCTAGGTTTATTACAAAGTGATGAAAAGGGTACGCTCAATACTGTAGTCCACAAAACATGTCGCTATGCTTTCTTTATTTGAGTCCCCCATCATAGGAGTCCGTTTTCTCATCGCTTCCGGAAGCCTGAGTCCTCCGTTTTCTCTCAATCTTTGAGTGCACCCGAGACTTCGTTATTCCTTAGTAATGACAGAATTTGAAATTGCAACCCCAATTGCAACCCCAGTTGCAACTGTTGAGGCAACTAGATATGTCTGATTACAGAAAATGTGTTATTGTCAATTTGTAGGTGAAAGATTTTATCCTCAATAGATGTAGGTGAAGTAAGGGGGTAACATTACACCTGGAGGCAAATGCGTGATAACCAAATTCTCGGCCTGAAAAATGTGCTATAACGGCAGGTGTGCAGATTTTGATGGAAGCGTGATAACGAAAATCGCGATAATCAAGTGCGCTATAACAAAGGGATGACTGTACTACTAGCTGTCCCGCCAGTCTCCGGTAATTTCCCGATGATCGGTATTAGTGTGCAGACAAAACAACTGGCAGGTAAATTTCCACCAGGTCACAGAAACACTCTTGTGAACTGTAGCCTTCTTTGAGAATTATTAAATCTTCACAAAAACTGGACTTCTCACTTTGAATATATATAGTCAGCACACTACCAATGTGCAATTCCTTTTCACTTTGTATAGCTCACAAGATTTCCACAATACTTTGAACAACAATTATCTTTAGCTGTCACTAGGCTTGTACTTAACCATTTCCTCTAATATGTCATGGAAGCCACACACCCACAACATTGCTAAAGTTTCCTCCCGAAAGCTGGGAATGCTGTACAGATGCCGTAGCTACTTCACTCCTGAGCAGTTGCTTCAAATTTAAAAGGGATTCATTCGTCCTACCTTGGAGTACTGCTCTCATATCTGGGGTGGCTCTTCTTCTGTCCAACTATTAGATAGTGTGGAATCAAAGGCATTTCGTCTTATTGACTCTCCTCCTTTAGTTGATAATCTTTCTTCTCTTTCTCTTCACCACAATGTTGCTTCACTCTCTCTCTTTTACAGGTACTTTAACGGGCACTGTTCGGTGGATTTGGCATCCTGTGTACCGCCAGCAAGGACGTGGGCTCGTAACACTAGTCTTGCCCGCGGTGCCCACAGTTTCTCTGTGGATGTCGGTCACACTAGAATAACCCGTTATAGTACATCTTTCTTAACTCACACAGCTAATCTGTGGAATGCTCTGCCTTCTTCTGTGTTTCCAAACTCTTACGATCTATCTCACTTCAAGAAGCTGGTTTTCCAGCATCTTCGTGGTGTAGATTAATATGGTCTTTTTCTCTTCTCTTTTTAATTTCTTTTTACTCCTATTTTTTTGCCCCCCTAGGCCCTGTTGTGGGTCGATGACCTGTGCCCGGGTGGGCTATTCCCCGTAATAAAAAAAAAAACCCACACAAACAACTGCCCACCGGACACCTCGCTGGTGTTTAAATACCTCTCCCCACACGTCTAAAGAATCCTAGCTCCATCTAGGCATTGCAGGTCGGAACGAGATACGCCTGGAAAGTTCTAGAATGATCTTCTCCGAGCTAGGGTTACAAAAATGATGCAAAACATTCTGGAAAATTTTTATAGATGTAATACATCAATATACTGTATACAAGAAAATCTCCCCAAACTTGCCAAAATAACTGCTGCTTGGAATAGAAAATAATCAAACCACCTATGCCTTGGCATAACAGTATTAAGGGGAATTCAGATGAATTTTTATACAAAAACACTCATAAATTTATAAAAAAATATGAAATATATATACAGTACAGTGAACCCTCGAAGATTCGGACTAAAAGGGGGGACACCTGTCCGAAAAAGCTAATTGTCCGGATTTTCCAGCGAATGTACAGAATGTATAAAAACGATATAAAAAAAACACTAAAAATACAGTACTGTAGTTTCACTTACTTTGCAGTGGATAGATGAGTTTATGTTGCCATGATCATATAGTGGGGACTCAGAGCAACTATTATTCTGAGTCAGAGGAGCAGGGATGCCCCTCAGTTTGCCTTGGCTGGGAGGCAGGAGGGGCGCAAGTAACAGGTTTGAAGGATGAGTCCAGCTTAATTTGCTTCCCTGCGTTGTACTGCTCCTTGATAATAAGTTCTCTAAGAGTCCGAAGGTGTTCCTAACAGAGGTGCATTTAAGGATTGAATGTGCCATCAATGTAAGTTAAGATAGTGTCGAGCAACTCTTGTACAGCAGACAACTTAACAATAGGCAGTTTCACAGGCGACTCCTCTCCGTCACTGCTCTCCGTGTCGTCGTCCTCTTTGTTAACAGCGTGGTTAGCATCGGCAATCTCCTCAGGCGAAAGCATCTGGTAATCTGGATCACCCTCATTCTCCTCCAACCACGTCTCCACATCCTCCATAGTTATGTTATTTTCTCCACCACGGTGTAACACACGATGAAAATCCGTTACCTCAAATCCCTCAAAGTTGAGTTCAGGCTCAGTGTCAAGCAGATGTTTCTTCCAGCTGTCATCTAAGGTAGATATTGTTACGAGTTGGGGATTTAGAATATAGTTAAAAGTCTACCCAGATCCCAACAGGCAACAACAATAAAAAAACAAAGACAATCGGACTATAAAAGGGTAGACAAAGGATGCGAGCTTTTGTTGTGTATAATAAAGTACCATAAATTCCTTAACAAAATATTCAGCTTTCTATAATTTACCCTTAACCATACTTAACCTAAACATTAACAGTATATACATATTTATACAACATAAAATAATTTGAAGCAAGTGGAGGTGGGGTAGGCAATATAAGATTACAAATACTTAAGTGCGGAGCTGAGATGGCTGACGAGTAAGGCTGAGTATTGTAGAAGACGGTAGGTAGTCACTGCCGTAGGTTTCCAGGATAGGTGATCCTGTGGTCACTTCCCAGAGTGAACTGAACTCTCCTCGAACTGGAGCTGACGAAGAAGACTTGTAGGAGGTGACGCAACAACCAGGATATGGAGAAGGGAAACCCCGGAGTGGTAACTAAGACGAGTCATACTCGTGTCTCGTCCCTAGATGGCGTTGCTCGTGGTGCTGGGTAGGTAGATCAGGACAATAGATGGCGTGGTTCGTAGTGCTGGGTAGGTAGATCATGACAATTGGTGGCGTGGTTCGTAACAATATCTTGAAGTCCTTCCACGAAGTAGCAAAGTTGAATATAGTTGATTTCAAATTGTATTTCTTGATGTTGACTAATGTACATCGCCCTCTTGTGTCATTCACAACATCTTCGTCCTCCAGCACTACCAGCACTTCATCCAGGTACCTCCTCTGGTACAGCCTCTTGCATGACACATGTACTGTTGGGCAACAGAAACGGGGCACGAATTTTACCATCACTGTTGACCAGTTTCTCAGCACTAGGGTGAGCTAGCGCATTATCAATCAGCAGAATTGCTTTGACGTCTTCAGGATCCAGCTTCATCACCTCTTCTTGCTACTTGCATGCATGAGGGATGAAGTGCTAAAAAAAATAGTCATTGAAGATCTCACCATTAAACCATGCATTCTTGGAATGGTAGTAGATAACTGGCAACTGGCGCATACAATCCTTTAACACACATGGGCGCACAGATTTGCCAATGACAGCTAACTTTAAGCGGTGCATACTGTATGTACTCTATATATATACATTACTTCTCTAGTCAGTAGCGTGTGGCAATGCCCCTGTTTCATGTCACCACATGCTTAGATAAATGTGCCTGGCGACATCTGGAAGCTGCTAATGTACCACTTACCACATGTCGCCTGAGAGGTCAGAGAGAGGTCAGTTGACCCATATAGGAGTGTAAGGACTACCTGCGCTTGTAAGCGCACGCCTGTATATTTCCGTTAATAAGAACCTACAAAACTCTACAGGTGTTTATGTTCGCTCCTGTAGTTAGAACCAAGTACCCCGAAAATCTCCACATACCATTAGCATTAGCACAGCAAAATGCAGAAATGTGCTCCGTACTCACTATGTGGCTTGGTGTGGATGCTTCATGATTTAAAGGCATGGGTGTTGCTGGGGAGTGACCACCAAAATAACCCTGTCTTATCAACATTATAAACTTGTGCCCAGTTCAGCTCCTTGTCCTTGATGAGTTGGTTTAACTTCAGCCTAAACTGCTCAACTTCTTCAGTTTGAGCACTCCTAGCCTCACTGTGCAACTTCCTGTTACATATGCCATGGCAATTCCGTAACCTCCACAGCCAACCATCACTAGCTTTGAATAGAATTCCCAAATGCTTAGCCTGCTTATTAGCAGCTTCAGCTATCTCCACGCCACGAACTTTAACCCCACATGCACACTGCAGAACAAACCACTTGTACCATGCTTCTTCCAGCTTTTTATCCTTTGGCACTTTCATATGCTTCCTTGCACTACCTGCACTGGCACCATCAACATCATACTTCATTGCAAATGCAGTAAGTTTATCCTTCGCCTTACATATGTTTGACACAGCTTGTTTCTTCACACCGTATTCATCACAGACAAGTGAGCCACGGACACACCTGACTAACTTCTTTATTAACTCAAGTTTCTGCACAACAGATAAATGTACATGCTTTCTCTCCACACCACCACTTGCTTTAGATGCCGTGATTAATCACTATTAAGGGGAGCATCCAGTTGAAGCACAAAATTCGTTAATAATTGATCAATCAATATCAATTTCCTGTCAGCAATTAAGGACACCAGATACCTTGTTGCTATACCCCTGAATCAGTTCTTCCTAATCCCTGATACCTGATTTTTCCCTTATATTCTTATCAATTTTCAAAATCCTACTTCTCCATAACTTCTTGCTAGATTACGTTGAAATTCAGGTGTAGTAGAGGTAATTTATTCCTCTTGGATGTGACATATTGTATATATATATTTCTGATTATCGCTTTCGTTTTGGGTGCATTAATTTTTCTTAACTTACCATATTTTCCTCCAAATATTTATAAAGCTAAATCAGCAAATAAAAAACCAAGCCAAATATAAAGAAAATCTGTATGTTCAGCCATGCACAATATGATATTCTACTACATTAAACCTTTGATAACTCGGCATTTGATAATTCGTTATTTAATATAACTCGGCATGGATGTGGTCTCGGAATGTATTAGTATAACTCGGGAAATGCCGTGATATGTAAAATTATCTGGGAAAATCTCGGCATATCTGGCCACCTGCAACACCTAACATGCCTCTGTGTCACCTACCATGCATCAGTGTCACCTACTATGATGTTCAGTCTTCGCCTGCAGTGCTGATAACTCTTACTTTTTTACATTTATTTATTACCTGTACACATATGGGTCAAAAAAATTTATTGTTTTATTTTTGTAGGAGGGGGAAGTGCCTCAATAAGTCGAAATTTGGGATAACTCGGCAAGGCCAGAGCCCCATACCGGGTATGTGTCGAGCTATCGAGGGTTTACTGTACAGTAGTTTTTTGGGCAGTATAAATACTGTTTTTTTTTTTTTTTAACCATTCATGTCATCTTATAACTTAAGTGATTACCCCCAAAGCAAGGAGGAAAAAAATATATAATAAAAAAAGACTTGTACTGTAGGTCATAAGATAAAAAAAAAATGAAGTACAAAATCTCATTCTTTGCCTGAGGGAAAGAAACAAGTGACCTGCATGCCCACCCTCCTCCCTAGGAATGTTTTGTTATTAGTAGAAAAATATGAAGTGTGAAGTTTGGAACCCAAGTTCAAGACAGAAGGGTTTAGTTCAGTAAACTGGCTCCAGAGTCTGTCCCACAGTAGCTGTCATTCTGCTACATTCTCCGAGCACAGATGGAGTTTTCTAGCTTTCTTTATAGACCTGTTTACCTGGATAAGTAGCTGTTTATGCAGCAAATTATATAGAATGTAGAAAGCTCCCAGGAATAAGCAGGCTCTGTAAGGGTATGTTCTATTGGAGTGATTCTCACAGGTGAGTTTTTTATTTATCTCAGTCATGAAATGAAATGGATTTAATTCTTCTACAGTATAGTTACTTTATTTAACTTGAACTAGCAGTGTTATATTGATTACAGTATACTAATTTTATGGACAACATAGTAAAATAAAGTTGTGCAGTAAATCATAAGCAATTACAGGGGCAAATCCAGGAATATCAAAGGGGGGGGTCCAAGAAGTTGTGGGTGGGGGAACATGTTGAGCACAGCGAGCCCACCCAGTGTTTGTTTTGAAATCTGACCAATATCATTGGCATTTTTAGGCCATTTTGAAGCCATATGCACTTGATATTAGGAGATATTCTGAGGTCAATAGTAATTACTTTTCACTATACAAAAATGCCTGAATACAATAACTGCATAAAAGAAAAAGTACGTATTGGAATTTTCTGATGAAAAGGAGTTCTGGATCCCCAGGGAACCCCCCCCCCCTGCATCTGCACCTGGATTACTATTATTTTAAAAATACAATTAAGATATATCTTAATCTTTTCTGAAGGAACTATAATGTACCACATTTTGTCTAGTTGCAATGATATAAAATTGGTATGGTGTGCAGATATTAAAATTCTTTGAATACTGGTGAACTACAGCTACCCCTCGACTTACGACCGCCCCAGTCGTACCAAAATTTTTTCAAATTACGTATTTTCGAGTCCCGACATTAGTGATTGCGCTGTGTACTGACAAAATTTTTGTTTGTAATTCCCTTTAAAATGGTTGGCATGCTTAAAAGTGAGAGTTTTGTGGTGCTGAGAAGAAAAAGAGACACCCATTTTAGATTTTCTATGTATAATCTTCGTATTTTCGACTTACAACCTGGATTTGGTTCAAACTAACCCTGCCGTAAGTCGAGGAGTGGCTGTACTTAGAGATGTTCTGTATATACGTATAGTATAAATGATTTTGACTTTTGCATTCATCAGGTGCAATGTTTGCCAGTTTGCTCTACATTGTGATGAGTGTTCGGTTGTATGAGATTCATGTGTCTCTCATTCTACTGGCATCATTCATCACTGGGATCAGTGGAGGCTTCACCTCATGTATCATGACATGCATGAGTTATGTGGCACAGGTAAGCTTTTATTAGATTATACCAAGTAAAGTGAAAAAGGGGGATTTCAGAAACTACAAATAGAGTACTGTATACATATTCAGAAGATGTTGCTTTGCGGATCAGAATTTTGAAGGTTTAATATTACAGTATTCATAGATGTAAGGTTTAGCTTTTTTGATGAACTAACCATGAAAATTTTGCTGGTACATTGCTCTTGGGTTGTGGAAAGCTCCTATTGATTTTGGGATTAAGAGAATCAAAGGACAAGGTCACTTGTGCTACCTAGAATGTGGGGGTATTAGTTTGCCACAGGCATACACATCTAGTGTTATTTATAATGACTTCTGAAATCCAGAAATCAGCTACTGTTTATGGTAATATCAGGAAACCAGAAAACTGGCACCTTTAAGAACTGCAGCATTACAGAAATGTAAAAATTCAAAAGAAATCAATTCCTTACTCATGGCAGCAGCCACACACGTCTCTTGAGACAGCTTGGTGACTGCCCGGCTGAACTGTGTTGCATGTATACTGTACAAATTATTTCAACAATATAATACAGTAATAGGGACTCGATTCTTTTATGAAAAAACATAAGAAATATTGATAAGTACTGGAGTTTATAAAATCAATTCTATTCAAGTTAGAAATACCATTTTTTACCAAAGTAATCATGAAGAGCTTATCTAAAAGTTTGGTTAAATAAATATTAAAAAAAAAATCTATAAGATATGGGCATGCGAGGCGTGAATGGAGCTATGTGTCACACCAAAACAGTAGAATTTTCCATCCTGCACTGGGGAAATTTTCCCAGAGCCTAAGCAATGCATCTCTCACTGAGCTGTATTTATTTTTGCAAACACCTCTGTGCATGTGTAATATACTGTAAATAAACAAAACCATGTACTGTATACTCTTACTGTACTAAATATACTGTACTGCACTCACCAGCAGATGCTGTCGTCTTGAGCCTACATTTAGGTTGGCATACACTGTCCACTCTGCTGAATGTAATATGTAACTGTAATAACTTTTTGCATCTTAACACTTGCGATGGAGGTTGTTTGGGGATTAGTGGGTCTCATGTTACTGATTTGACCTGATGCAATGTCAGGTCACCTATTGTTTATAAACTCTTCTCTCATTTGCAGTGGGGGTAGGGTGGTGGATTAGTGGTCCCATATTACTGACCTTCTGATGCAATGTCAGGTCACCCATTGTTGGGGTGGAGGATTAGTGGTTCTCATGACCTGAAGATGTATTGAATAAAGACGAAAGCTAAGGTGCTTCAGTGTTTCCCACTTACTGAATGTACAGAACAGTATACATAACTATAATCACTTTTTACATTTGTAACACTGTATTCTTGGCTGGTAGTGTCCTGGTACAGTAATGTACAGTACTGCACAACACAAATTGTACGTACAAATAGCAATTAACAAGGGAACAATCTTTTACAATGGCAGCAGCATATGAACTGAGCGATCCAAGCAGCTAGGCCAACCACGCGCTTGGCACATGGGAACGTGCCGGAGCATGAAGCAATCTCTCGGAACTCCAAGAAAATTTGTTCCCACACCCAAAATGGAGAGGTTTTCTATGAATTTTTCAGGAAAATGTGTCTGACTTTCATTTTCGAAAACTTATTCGCAGACCAGGAATGGAGAGAGTTTTCCCAGATTTTTTCCGGCCCAATTTCCATTCCGGTTATTACTGAGTTCCAGGGATCAGGGATTCTGTCTAACAGTAACAGGGAGATTACTGATGCTAGATGGTTTTTGAACCTTCCAGAATAAATTTAGCGTGATTTAGCGAGTGACGAGCATACTCGTCTCAACCCACACAGGACGTTTCTTATTGGACGATAATACCTTTAATCGCCTAAGCCCTATAGGGGTTAAATATTTGAGTATCTGGTGTGCTTGTACTGAAAATACAGAAGTAATTTTTAAGATACAGTTCAGTATATATTAGTATTTCTTAATAAATTGTACAGGAGGGAAAATTAGTGTGTGTTCCTAATAAACCCAATGTGGCAGTACTGTTTCCTAATAAACCCAATGTGGCAGTACTGTATACAGTCAACCCTCACTTTACGCGGTTAATATAACCCACAGGGTACCGCGGAAAGTGAGAAACGCGTAAAGTGAACAACATAACATATGGGATTAATTGAAATAGAGACCGGGCCGACCCCCAAACTCCACATTTTGACGACACACAACTATGTTGTAGTAAAAATTTTATCTTAACTTTATGATGGTATACACACACAATTAATATAGAAGAGGTTAGGTTAGGTTAGGAAAAATAAAGGTTAAGTTAGGAAAAATAAAGGTTAGGTTAGGAAAACTAAAAGTTAGGTTGAACACTTACGTTAGTAGAAGAGATGGGTCGGCATACGGGGATGGAGGCTGATTCCGAGGCAGAGGGCAGGCTACTGGCCCTCAGGTGAGTCACCATCACTGTCATCCACACTTGTCAGGGCCTCCCTGACAAATCCCTCAAAGTCATCTTCACTGTCTCTACCTCTGTCACTATCACTGGCTTGGGCTGGCTGTGGTGGGTTGCGGGCAAAGAACTCTGTTATGCTTTGCTGACGGCTGGTGTTTATGTTGTCGTGATAAACCTTGAAGTAGGGCTCCATAGTCTGCAACAGCTGGGTAGTGAAGATTTCATACCTGTTTGCGTCAGGGTCGTCAAAGGAGGAGCTTGATTTTCTCGATACACTCGATGGCACCCCTAACATTACTATGGGATAAGCGGTGTTCTTCTTGGGATGACGCACCACCTGCCTCTTCACTAACGTCATCATCATCTGCCATCTCGTCGGTAGTCATATCAGGATCCCTTTTCACCTCCAGGATGTCGTCATTGGTGGTCTCGGAGAAGCCTGCAGCTGTAACACTCTGCGCAGCTTCTCTGGCAAGGTCCACTGCTACTGCAACAGTCTGAACCTCACCAGTCACAGATTGACTCTGCCTAACGGCCGGAATGCCTTGCAACACATGTCTCCATGCGTGACGAACAGTTGCTACAGACAGCTGATCCCATGCTTTCTTGATGTTGAATATTCTCCAGAATTGTTTGAAAAGTATTTTTTGCTCTGCCAACTGTTGATCCTCGTCGTCTTCACTCTTGCTATCGGTGGTGGTGTCACTCAGGTTACGCAACTCTTCCCTGGTGTTGGTGTAGTCGTTCAGGAGCTTGAATTTTTTTGTTGAGAATGCAGCTTTTACATTACAGATTAACTCTTGGCCCATGGGCTGTAATATAGACGTAGTGTTGGGAGGAAGGAAGACCACTTTTACGTTGTTGGTGACGATCTAACAGTAGGGGCGAGTGTCCTGGTGCGTTGTCCAGCAGCAACAAAATCTTGAATGGCACATTCTGTTGCTCACAGAATTTCTTTACATCGGGAACGAAACAGTCATCAAACCAGGAGAGGGACAGTGTAGAGAACATCCAAGCCTTACGTGCGGTCAGCCAGTGGACATTTAGCTTGGTCATGTCCATGCTCTTGTAGGCGTGCAGCTTGCGGGCTGTGTGGATCACCGATAACTTGAGCTTACAGGTACCGGAGGCATTGGTGGTAAACAGGACGGTGATGCGCTCCTTCTGCAACTTCCGGCCCCGAATCTTGCTGGCATTCTTCACAACGAAGGTCTTGGAAGGTAGCTTTTTCCACAAAAGATCAGATTCGTCCATGTTAAACACCTGGTCGTTGGTGTACTGTCCTTCCTCCATAATCTCACGTAAAAACGGAGGAAATTCCCTAGCCACAGCACGGTCAGCACTAGCTTCTTCACCACCAATGTTGATATTGGTGATCTTGTTCCGCATCTTAATCCTCTGTAACCATGAATCGGCTGCTTGTCCAATTAACCAGTCCGTTCACATATATTTATATTTGGGTTTTAAGTAACGAAACCCAAACGGTAGTTCCTTTGTTTTATTATAAAAGGTTGTATATATAATTCCTGAGTGTATATCAACCGTAAGTCTCACTGTCTAGGAGTGAATGAGAAGGGGACGGCGTTTATGTATAATAAACGTTAGGTCACGTCCTTACGATATGAGTTGAGGTGAGCTACTGAAGCTTAAGGGCATCGCAGTGCGCTTACAGAAATGCTGAGCTATGGGTCTCGCCCTCTTGGGTGAGTTGCCTCACACGTGTCCATATCATGTCTTACTCATAGACAGTGGAAAGTTACAGGGTGGTGAATCTGAATATAATATCAGATGTATTGACCCATTTATATAATACGTTCTGTTGATGAGACAGGGGCCTATTACATCGCTCGGTCACCTACCAGCCGAGCTCCGTGAGGCCTAACTAACTCACAGAGTACAGTACATCCTAGACAACCCTAACCATGTTATAAACAGATACCGGTATGTAGACACTAAGCTGAGGATATTACTGTAGGGGTATTCTCTACTACAGGGGACCTAGACTTTAGTGTTGTACGGGTTAGTATGTTATGAACAATGTTGAATTTGGATGATACTGCCCTGTAATAACAGAACAGGAACATAATTGCCAGTATTAACAAAATAGAGGG